AAGATTATACATGGTGAGAAGCACTGGCCAAGTACTATGTGAACTGCTCATGTCTCCAAAAGGATTAACTCCATCAGTACTCAGGGCAAATCTAATGTTCCGTGGGTCTTTAGCAAACTCTCTATACTGAGCATCAAAGTTTATCCACTGACGAGCATCTGCCGGGTGTCGAATCATCCCATCCTTCTTGCGCCCTTCTTCATGCCAGCGCATTAGTTCCGCATCTCACGGGTTTGAGTATATCCGTTTAATGCGGTCTTTGACAGGAAGGTACTACATCACAAGCTGTGGGATTTTTCTCTGTCGTCCCTCAGTTGCTTCAGAGGGTTCTAGGCCAGTATTGCTATTCGACTTGTACCGGCTTGCACCACATGTTGGACATTCATCTAAAGAAGCGTACTCTTTCCTGTACAGTATGCAGTGATTTATGCACGCATGAATCTTTTCCATACCAAGTGAAAGGGGGCATATGAGTTTCTTTGCTTGATATGTGCTGGATGGTAGTGAGTTAGGCCTCGGTAGCATTTTCTGCAGAAGTTCTAACAGACTGTCGAAACTGGTATCAGACCATCCATGTCTCGCCTTTAACCTCATAAGTTCAAGAACTGACCAGAGTGTTGTGAATTCACTGTCATAGCCCTTCGACTCATCGTACAAAACTTCCTTTGCTGCCTTATGTAAAGCTTCAAAGTTATTTAACCCTCTAGCCGACCCCATCAGCACCTCGGGTTCTGCATGACGTAACATTTCCTCTAGGTCGATTTTGTCCTCAACAGAACCATCGTCATGCACCATGTCTTCAACTTGTGTCGGAACTACATTTTCAGGCCCGTCCACTTGTTCTTCGCCATGACGTGTCCATATTTCGTACTTGTCCATAAATCCACGAGTTACTAAGTGCTCCTTCACTTTAAAAGCATCGTCAAAGTCCCAGGCTATTTCATTCTTATAGTCAGCACATGGACAAATTATCTTCCTCATATTGTTCTTCTCAGCATGTGCCTTGGCAATACCAATAAATTTAGCCACTTCGTTTCTATATGGAGACAAAAACCTCGGCCAATGATACATCCATTCCCGACTTTCCATATCTCTAAAAAAATGCACGTAAAATATTTGCACAATTAATACCAAATTTGTAGGGTTTACTGAAAAAACTTATCGCTATTCAAAACTAATTAACTAAAGGTTAAGTGTAAAGTAATAAAAAAATCAAAGTTTATTTCAATTTTTTTTACACAGACATGCCAAATTAGTACATTAGGAAAATCTAACAAAATCATATCATCGGCATATTACAAAATACTATAACTATTTTTTGATTGCACCGAATAAATAGACATTTAAAATTTTATTCTCTCTGTATATATGACAAGATCTAGATCTAGATCTAGAACTAGGTGGTGGATGTGATAGCAAAAATAAAAAAAAATGAGAATTTATGTTACCACATTAAACCACTACAACAATAGGCATCAAGTATTACACATACATCTAACATCAACATATGAAAAGAAATAAAATTAAAAAACTTGGAGCTCTTCCTTCACAATTTTGAATGCATAAATCCATCACAAATTAAGGTCTAAAAGCTTAAAAAATTCCATACCTAGTGTGGAAATGAGTAGATCTAAGTACCTTAGAAAAATCCCCCGAAGATTTGAAGTTCAAAACTTCCCCCCCTATATTTAAGTCACTTTAAGAGAGAGAAACGTCGGGGAGAATGAACAGGGCTCGGGGAGGAAGAAAACTATATAGGGGTATCTTTGTAGGCGGGCCATATAAGCGTTGCCTGCGAAGATCGATCTTCGCAGGCGGACCATATAAGCGTCGCCTGCGAAGATCTATCTTCGCAGGCGCACGACGTCTGCCGCTTGTGAAGATCGATCTTCACAGGCGACGCTTATATGGACCGCCTGCAAAGATCAATCTTCGCAGACGGACCGCCCCCTCCACCCCGGGTACTTTTTTTGCCGGCAGGGTTTTGGCTCCGAATTACATGCCCGCTTACGAAAATCGATCCCCTACGACGCCGAAAATGAGTTTTCTAGTAGTGGCAATTAGTTTTTCTTTTAATCTATTTAATGCTTCATGCATGTGTCCAAGGATTCAATGTAATGTTTTTGGGAAAACTTTTGGGGGAACTAAACGGGGCTTCACTCGATCTGTCCACAAATATAAGAATGTAACGTCTTTAAAATTTACTTATAAATCCCCGAAAAAAATTACTTATAAATATAAATATTCTAAGTATTGCTTGTCCAATCAATTACCTATTATTATTTCTTTTCCCATCTTACTCCAAACATCCTCTCTTATCCATCTCTTATTATATGGCATGAAAGTTTTTTTCTCCCTTAGCCTTAGCAAAGTCCATCTCTTATAGTTATAGGGCATGAAAGTTTTTTCTCCTTAGCCTTAGCATTTGCTAAGTAATCTAATAACGTTTGTATATATTTATGGATGGAGAGAGTAATTAACCGGATAATTTGACATATTAACCATAAGTCCATAACTGCTTGCTTAGAAAGATGAATTAAATATTGCATATTATGAATCTATAAATGAATGACTTAGGAAATGTTATCTAAACAATCTTTTTCCATAAAGCTGGAGCCGTACCGAATACTTATTTTAGATAGTACTCCCTCCATATTTTAATATTTTAATGTATAACGCCGTTGACTTTTTAATCAACGTTTGACCATTCGTCTTATTCAAAAAATTTATGTAATTATCATTTATTTTATTGTGGCTTGATTTATCATTAAATATTCTTCAAGTATAACATAAATATTTTTATATTTGCACAAAAAATTTGAATAAGACGAATGGTCAAACGTTGTTCAAAAAATCAATGGTGTCATACATTAATATACGGAGAGAGTACTAAATAATATACGCAGTACTGCCGCTCCGCTCTTAAAAAATAATATACAGTAGGGCATGCAGTATGCCAGTCAGCCCTTGTACGGACGGTGGCTGGCGACGGCGACCTCGGTCAGCCACCGGCCTAATACGATGGCCCCGGAGGAGGTGGCGGTGGCTGCTTGAGGCGAGGAGGCATGTGGATGCGAAGTCGGCGGTGGCGGCACCGTTTCGTGGACAAATCCGCGACGGCGGTGGCTCGGCTCCAATGATGGGCGAAGGCCGGCGCCACACGACAACCATGGTAGTTGCAGCGGATGGCGGCCTAAACGACGGCAGCGGCGGTCGGAGCGGGTGGTGGTGGAGGCCGGAGTGGGTCACCGCGGCGACACACCATACGTCGGTGTTGGTGCCTGGAGCAGATGGGGCAGGAAGAGAGTGTGGATGGAGAGAGAGAAAGAGAGAGGAGGGAGAGAGCATCTCGCGTGGGGCCGACGATTGGCAAGCCAATTTGTACTGGCCAAGTTTGGCCATCGAGGGAGCCAGTTTGACAGCCAGATGGCTTGGCCAAGCTTGGAGAACGGGATAGCTACTCTGTTGGAGATGCTACAACTAGCTCGTTGGGAAGAGCAGCCGTCAAAATGCTAATGTGCAACTCATACGCAAAATGGGTAGTACATGATTTTTTTTCCCTTTCCGGTTTTCATGCTAACATCTGTGTATTTGTGTTGGAGCGAAGAGGCTGACGGAACTATCATTTCGCTTATTCGGAATAAGCGAAATGGCATATTTGCAAACGAAAAATAATTTATAAATAAAACTTTTATATACATGTTTTTAGTGATCTAAAAGCAATGGTTGAAAAATAAACTTCAATAAAAACCCTAAAATCAACTCCATATTTAAGGTTGAAAATTCAATTTTAACTGATAAATATAAGCATAAGCGAAAAGATGAGACTGTCAGCCATAGAGTCCGACCGAGAAAAGAATTACTATATACCACTGATCTGATTGCTGACTAATATACTAACTAATATGATATAAATCAGTTAGAATTAAATATTCTATTCGTGCTCCTATACACCAGAAAAGGTACATGTAAGTAGGCCCGGATAAAAAGTATCGATAGCTTGTTAGCTCACACTCAACTTAGGTTGCGTTCAAGAGGAGGGTTGCCCCAGCACGCAAAGCGAAATACGTATTATTGCATAATTAATTAAATATTAACTTTTTTTTAAAAAAATAGATTAATATGTTTTTTAAACAATTTTCATATAGATTTTTTTTTCAAAAACACACCGTTTAGCAGATTGAAAAGCGTGCGTGCGGAAAACGAGAGAGGTAAGTTGGAAAAACTAGGAGAAGAGCACAGCCTTAGGCTGTGTTCGGAGGAGGGGTTCTCTGGCACGTAAAACAATGTACACATTAACACATGATTAATTAAGTATTAGTTAATTTTTTTTAATAAAATGGATTAATATATTTTTTAAAGCAACTTTCGTATAGAAAATTTTTGCAAAACACACACAGTTTAATAGTTTAAAAAATGTGCGCACGGAAAACGAGAGAGATGAGTTAGAAAAGTGATGTAAAGAATTCAGTTAATTGCATTCCCCCCCTCCCTAAAATACTCTCTATCCAAAAGTCTTAGCATATTTCTTTTTTTTTGTTTTTTTTTTCAAATAAGATGACTATATTAGTAGTTTTCATGTGCTAAATTGAATTATTGATCAGAAGCAAAATATACTTAATACTCATTAATTGGTTGTATGTGTACCCATAGTTCCTTGGTTTTATTACATAAGAGATGGGTTAATTCCTTTTTAATTGTGGTGCCAAAAGAAATATATCCTAGACTTTTAGATGAAATAAGTACTACCTCCATCCCAAATTAAATATCGTTTTGACTTTTCTTACAACGTTTGATCATTTGTCTTATTTAAAAAATTAGTGTAAATATAAAAGTATAAGTCATACTTAAAGTACTTTTCATAATAAAGTAAGTTACAAACAAAAATAAATAATACTTTTATAATCTTTTGAATAAGAAGAATGTGCCAACGTTACAAACAAAAGCTTAAAACGATAAGCATTTAGGGGAGAGTATATAATACTCTATCCAGCTCAAGCGTACATAACAGTGCAAGCAAACAAGAGTATAAAATAATAGAAGGAAACAAGCAAGAAGGCTAGTGTGGATCCAGTGACCACGGAGGAGGGTGTACGGACGTACCATTCTTTGTCCCCAAATCAAAACCCCGTCAAGCTGATCACACACACTTTAGCCGGAAACGGTCTCCTTTGGACGCGATCCTCCATCTAACCACGGTTTCCCTGAATTGAAATTTGACCAAGCCCCACTTAAACCCAACCCCGGTCAAACCAAACCAAACCTCCCTATAAATACCACCTCGCTCTCTCTCTCGCTTCCTCCATCTCCTCTCCTCTCCTCACACATCAACTTCAGCTCCGGCGAACTCCACCTGATCATCCGCAACCGATCCACTTCGCCGTCGATCGACGTCGACGCCGGCTTCACTTGTCGGTGATCACTCTGTCGTCACTCGGTCCATCCATGGCGGCCGTCCAGGCTCACCACCGCCTCTTCTTGGCATCTACCTGCGCCGGCCAGCAGCGGCGGCTGCTGAGGCCGAGCCGGATCGCCGCGCCCTGCCGCGCGGCGGTCAGCGGCGGCGTGCGCACGGCGCAGAGCCCGTCGTCGTCGTCGTCGGGTAGCGGGAGCCCCAGTAGCCTCAGGCTTAACCTTGACTGGGTCGACCCGCGCGTCGTCGCCGTCCCGACGTCGTCTCCGGGAGCTCAGGTGGAGGTGGAGAAGCTCAGGGCCATCGCGGAGGCGGCGGCGGACAGGGCGGAGATGCACGACATCATCGGGAGGCAGCGGGACAACTGGAACCACCTGCTGCTCCACTCCAACAACTCCCTCGCCCTCGCCGCCTCCGTCATGGCCGCGCTCGCGCCCGCCGCGCCGACCGTCGTGGCGCTCAAGGCATCCGCGGGGGTCCTCCTGGCCTCCGCCGCCGTCACCATGGCCGCTGTCAACAAGATCCAGCCGTCGCAGCTCGCCGAGGAGCAGCGGAACGCCACCAGGCTGTGGAGGCAGCTGGAGCGCGACGTCCGCGTCACGCTCGCGCTCGCCGCGCCGGTGACCAGGGCCGACGTCCACGACGCCATGGACAGGGTCCTCGCGCTCGACGCCGCGTACCCGCTCCCCCTCCTCCCCGGCATGCTCGACAAGTTCCCCAAGACCGTCGAGCCCACCCGGTGGTGGCCGAAGAAGAAGCAACAGCAGCAGCGCGCTCCGGTGAACAAGTCGAACAGCTTCGGCAGCAGCAGCCGCCGCCGCGGCGCACGCGGCAACGGCTGGACGCCGGAGCTGGAGGAGGAGATGCGCGGCATCCTCCGCGTCATCAAGGCCAAGGACGAGCACGAGTACATCACGGTCGGCAAGATGGTCCTCGGCCTCAACAAGGGCCTCGCCGTGGCGGGGCCAGCGCTCGCCGGCACGGCCGCGGTGGCCGCGGCCTTCATCGGCTCCGGCGAGGCCGGCGCGTGGGCGTCCGGCGCCGCCGTCCTCGGCGGGGCGCTGGCGGCGGCGGCGAACACCGTGGAGCACGGCGGGCAGCTGGGCATGGTGTTCGAGCTGCTCCGCAACTGCGCCGGGTTCTACCGGAAGATGCAGGAGGAGATCGAGGCGAACCTGGGCGAGGCCGACGTCGAGAGGAGGGAGGACGGCGAGGTGTTGGAGACGAAGGTGGCGCTGCAGCTCGGGCGGAGCACGTCGGAGCTGAAACAGTTCAGGAGGTTGGCGTCGCCGTCGTTCAAGGACGACGACGTCAAGGATTTTGCCGGGAAACTCTTCTAAAACAAAAGAAAATTCTAATCACTCACTTATTAGACATCTACCTCATTTGAAAATGGTAGATGGTTAATTCAGAGGCTCGAATTTGAGCGAGATGTGCATATATAGGTTAGGGATTCCATTGATTCTTTTGTAAAGATCCGAATTAGTTAAAATTCTTTATTTCATTAGTTTGAGTTCATTCCAAGTTTCACACACTGTGCCCTCAATCGGCTAGAAAATGACGTGGCTGAGCAAATGAGACAACGGAAAGTGCTGCTGTCCACGCGCCGCCGCCGAGGGACGGCCATCTCACCATCGTTGCCATCGCTGCATTCACTCGCTGAAAATCTTGGGCAATGTACATCTAATTTGGCACAAAGCGGTTGACAAGCCAGCTGACAAATTGACAAGTAGCGCAAAGTGGTGTGTGCAAACTGCGAAAAATATACGGTTGACATTGTGAGCGAGATCAATCGATGGAAGTAAAACAAAGAAGTACTGCCTCCGTTTTTTTAATAGATGACGCCGTTGATTTTTTCTCACATGTTTGACCATTCATCTTATTCAAAAAATTTACGGAATTATAATTTATTTTGTTATGAGTTGTTTTATCACTCATAATACTTTAAAGTGTGATTTATATCTTATATATTTGCATAAAATTTTTAAATAAGACGAATGATCAAACATATGAGAAAAAGTCAACGACGTCATCTATTAAAAAACAGAGGAAGTATGATCACCTCGATAAAGAGCAACAATGAAAAAAATAGTCAGTTTGCTTTTCTACCCCAAGTCAATACGAAAGCAGACAATAGCTAGCTGGAGTAGCTGGCACTGTCAGGCAACCTCAAAATAAAGTCATGTACTGCCTCCGTCGCAGCAGGTTATGTTTTTTACTTTGATCGAAGTTAAACTACTTCAAGTTTAACTAAGTTTGTAGAAAAAATAATAACATTTTCAACCTAATTTATTATGAAAATATATTCAATTATTGATTTAATAAACTAATTTGGTATTATAAATATTACTATATCTGTCTATAAACTTAGTTAAATTTAAAATAATTTGACTTTTACCAAAGTCAAAAGGTTTTATAACCTGAGACGGAGGAAGTATATATGAATAGGCGTTACGATTTTACTATACAATCGACCATCTCTCAGATCGTAAAGTAGCGTATTTAATTCTTGAGATGAATTGCAAAGGATTAAGGCTGTGTTTGGAACTCCAAGTTCCCAACCCCTCTCCCTCGTTTTCCGCGCGCACGCTTTTCAAACTGCTAAACGGTGTATTTTTTGTAAAAAGTTTCTATACAAAAGTTGCTTAAAAAATTTAAATTAATCCATTTTTTAAAAAGAAATTAGCCGATTCTTAATTAATCACGTGCTAATGGACCGCTCCGTTTTCCGTGCAGGGAGATTGGGTTCCCATCCCTGCTATCCGAACACAGCCTAAATACCTCATTTATAACTCGAAGCTACTCCTTTCGTTTCATATTATAAGTCGTTTGACTTTTTTTTTAATTAAAGTTCGTTAGATTTGACCAAGTTTATAAAAAATTAGCATTAAAATTAACATTGAATATATTTTGATAATGTGTTTGCTTTATATTAAAAATACTATTTTATTTTTCAATAAACTTAGTTAAACTTAAAGGATAAAAGTCAAATGACTAGCAAAGCATTGTGAGAATTGAAGAATGCATAGCTCTGTAAGAATGGAAGAATACATGGATCGATCGAGAGGTGTGCCCGAGTTGCTCCCCGTGTGCACACTAACATTGTCACATTCTCCCTCTCGCCGCGCTGTAGCCCAGTTGCTCACTCTGGTGGTTGCGAGCAAGGACAACTATGGTGGGCAGACGGCCATGGCGGTTGGCCCAAATCTACGTGGGGGGAAGGAGCTGACGCGCGGTGGCAACCCAACGGTGAGGTGCTTCAGCGATGGTCATCATCGGTCAAAGTTGAGGGGTGGGGGGCTATAGCAAAATTGGCCTCTCAGGCCAGATCTAGCCACCCCTATCTTGGATCTAGCAGTCCAGGTGGAGTTGACTGTCAAGTTGAAGAGGTACAGTTGGAGGTAGAGTTGGCGCATGGAGGAGGACTTTCAGGTGGCTGGCGATATGGCCGGTAGGGGAGGAGATGCAGGTGAAGGTATAGTTGGCTGGCGAGATGTTAGTGGTTGGGGGAGGTGGAGGTAGAGGGGGTCGACAGGTTGGATATAAAAGATACACTACAACAGAAACAGAAACAGCCTATAGAGACGTTTTCAAAGCAACGGCTTGGGAAACCGTCTTTACCAAAGCCTACCTCCTATCCCACCCTATTACTAGATACAGATGGAAGAGACATATGAATGAACTGTCTCTATAGTTAAATTAATCCATTTGATGAAAATTTGATAGGACGGGGGTTAAAATCCGTAGACACGGTCCTTCTGACGGGTGTAGAAAAACCGCGTCAAACGCGTGTGAAAAGATTTGTTTTTGGTGCCCGTTCGCTAAATTTTTTTAATCTACGCGCGTTTTCTGATGAAGTTCGCGGGATATTTTTCGTTCACTCGGAAAGTCGGAGGTGGTTACGATCCAACTGAGGTACAAAACCAATCTATTATCCACTTCTTTCAATCTTTCAATACCCAATTCCTAGGAACGCCGCCCAGCCACCGCCCACCAGCAGGGCTCCAGCCTGCCGTGCGCTTGCAGCGTTGCCGCGCCCCGGCGTCGGTCCGGCACGTGCATCCTACCGCCAGCTCCGGCGCGCATATTCGTGCAGCCGTTGCCCAGCGCGTCCCTCAGTGGTCGTCCAGATCACATTTGCTCCACCTCCGTCGCTCGGACGTCCCTACAGCCGTCAGGCAGTGCGTCCCGGTAGCGATCGTCCAGATCGTATCCTGCTGAAGCTGTCCAAGGTAATTACCGCTTCGCAAGCTGCAGCCGCCGGCATCATCACTTGTTTGATTTGTTAGTAGCAAGCAGGCGAGGCTACCACTTTGTTGTTTAATCGGCTACCACTTTGTTTTTTAATGGCTGCACAGTGTGCACACCAATTGTTTGATGATTGTTCTACACAAGCAAGTCCAGAAAGAGGTTAACGCACTGTTTTTTAATTATTGTAAATCAAGTTTTGATCAATTTAGATGTGAACGGCATTGATGCATCAGTATGCTAGCACCCAAAATTTGGTTACCAAACACATTCTCGTTAACCTGGGCACTAATCATGTAGATCTAATTTAAATTAGTAACGTAATCTTGCCGTTAATCACATTCTACGTAAATGATCATTTCATTTTACAGAGATGGCGGTGTATTTCAACATCTCTCATTTCGTATGTGTACAGGTCTTTGCTTTTGTGGATTTGGGCAATTCGATCCCAGTCAACTACTCCCTCCGTTTCAAAATGTTTGACACCGTTGACTTTTTAGTACGTGTTTAACCATTCGTCTTATTCAAAAAATTTAAGTAATTATTTATTCTTTTCATATCATTTGATTCATTGTTAAATATCTTTTCATGCACACATATAGTTTTACATATTTCACGATTTTTTTAATAAGACGAACGGTCAAACATGTGCTAAAAAGTCAACGGTGTCAAACATTTTGAAACGGAGGGAGTACTATCGAGGTGATTTACCACTGCTCGTGTGACTATTATATGGAAATTGTATACTGCATATGCTTTTGTGATCAAAGTTGTTTTCTTGAAGTAGTAAAGACTTAAGCAAAACTATTCATAGATATTTTGGTTGGCTAAAGTTATTCATAGACACAGATTGTGAGTTCCTGTTCATATTTATAATAGGATTAATTTGCACTAAACCATAGAAAGGATATGACTTAACAAAGAAGAAAAAAAAACAAAGATGAGAATTTGTTATGAAGGGTAAATTTTCCATTTATCAACTTGAGATATGAAGATTTGCATGTTCTCATTTTGGCATTTTAACTGATATGCAAAGGTTTTGTTATTAATAACATTATAATCCATTTTTTAAAATATAGTGCAAATGGCAACAAGGTCCCAAAGATTACAAGGCTTGGAGCTTTTGGAGAATGGAGTACAAAATCAAGAACTGGTCCCAAATGATCATTATGTTGAAGAACAGAACATAACAAACGCAGATTGGCGCACAAATTGCTATGAGTATTGTAAGATGTATTTGTTTATTCGCTTCAAAACTTTTGCTTACAGACTAACTTTTAAAATTTTACAGATCCTGATGGCCGCATTAAAAGACGTCGAGGACCAACTAAATTGGCAAATGTTGGAAATCTTCCAGAGGGTGTTAAGATTATTGTCAAACTGGACGTTTCAATGTACCTTGCTCCCAATCTGCTATAGTTCTTGGATACTATTTAGATCCTATTTAGGAACACTTGTCAGGAAGCCACATCTAGCTCCACTGAACATTCTTCAATGGAATCATAAACTTTATAAGAGAGTATATCATCCAAAAATGATTTCTGAAGTAGAGGTATTGCTCTTTAATTTTCACAGCTTTTTAAATCATATTCTTATGGTGATTCCAATATAATTCCATTCACTCTTTATTTTTCATATGCACTAGAGAAAGTTTGCAATTGATGGAAGAGCTAATAATTGGATTCTCCACCAATTAGATGGCAAATGGAGGCAGTACAAGTCAAAACTGAAAAAGGGCTATTACAAGCCTAACTTACCTATGGAACGAGTATTGCAAACCGTGCCCAAAACTGTTGCTGAATCTCAATGGGCCACCCTAGTTTCTTACTGGTACTCAGAGGACTCTAAGGTAAATATATGTTGGGACTTTTTAGTGACTGAATGACCATCATTTTGATTTATATCAGCTCATTGATGCTATATGTTGTATCATTAGAAAATCAGTGACAAAAACAAAGAGAATGCACAGAATATTAAGCATCCACACATATTAGGAAGAAAGAGTTTTGCAAGAAAGAGGAAAGAGCTGGTAAGATTTTAAGCAATTTTCATATATTAATTCACTATTGCTTCAATTCCTCATGCACTAGAGATGTATAATCTGCAGGAAGTTAATGGAGTAGAGGTGGACCGAGCAACTTTCTTTGATGAATGCCATAAGACGAAAAATGGCAGATATGTTAACGATGCTACTGAAGAAAAAATGGTATTCCATATTGCTTTTCTTATATAAACTCTTTGTAAAACAAAATACACTACATTAAGAGTCTACAATTTTTTCCAACGTAGAATGAAGTATATATGAAATTGGCTGAGAAAAGAGTGGATGGCCAAGAACTCAGTGAAGCTGATTTTGAACAAGCTATGTTAGAAGTGTTTGGAAAGGATCATAGGGGTAGAGTTAGAGGCATGGGTCCAACCATTACTCTAACAAACTATTATGGTGGAAGATTTTCGAATATATCAGGAAGCAGTGAAGGGAGTAGCTCCAGTAATGTAAATGGTTTCATTAGTTTTATAGTATCATATTTGGCTGAGAAATATCCAGAGGATAATTTGATTTCTAGGTTGCCACCATCAGTTGCTAGGGTCATTCCAAGACAAGAGGTATGGCCACAAAATTACTAATTTTAAATGTTGTAACTTATATAGCCATAAGCTTCCAGAATAACAAATTCATGCATGTATCTTCAGGTTGATCAGAACGAAGGAAGTCAGCCACCAAATACTGCTACATCCTCTCTTCCATTTGATCAGAACCATGAAAATCAGCTACCAAATACTACTCCATCCTCTAGTGCTAGAGCATCATCTCAGTCTTGCAGTGAAGAAGAGTGATTTACAATAGCAATTGTACCATTCCGTACTACTTGCTGCATTAGAATATAATTATTTTTTGTGTTAATTTGTTTGAACCTATTGTTTCATTGTTATATCAGAAAAGACGTTGAAGTATTTTCATTGTGAACAATGTATAGATATTGCTTTTGATTTTAATGACAAGCTACTGGCGTTAAAAGTCTTGTTAATGTGGTCTGATGGTAATTCAATCTGTTGGTATTGTTTTGTTTATGGGTTTTCTGAATGAAAGATGTATTGATTGTTGGCATGTGACCAATAGCGGGGCTATAAATAATAAGTGTAGATACAGGCACAACCGTGTCTATAGAAGCAGAAATTGTCTCTAGGAAAGAAATAAGTAATAAATTCATTATGAATAGAGACGGTTGTGACTGTTTCTAGAGAAAACGTAGATGTATCTACTATAAGCTAGACACGGAAACAACCGTGGCTAAGATCATCAAGTGTCTCTACATGATCAATCCAAAAATTTGTATTTCAAATTTGACACGGTCATAATTTAAATTAGAGACGGTTTTCCATGTGTCTACAAATTTGATTTGAATTTCGAGTTATGTGTGTAGCGACGGTTCCAACCGTATCTATTGACCGTCTCTAGATTATACACATGGATATTTAAACCGTCTCTAATCGTTTGACACGGGAGCTATGGCAATGCCTCTGAGACGGGTACTAAAACCGTCTCTACCTCTACTAGAGACGGGTATAGCCGTCTCTACCACATATAAAACCCGTCTCTACAGGCTGTTTCTGTTGTAGTGATGCAGCCATGCAGGAGACCAGGTTTCTAGTGCCTCGTACTATCCGGTGATGGCTGGTGAGGTGGTCAGTGGGGTGGAACAGATGTTGGTAGGTGGTTAGTAGAGTTGTCGCTTGGAGAGGTCGTTGAATTTTTGTTTGGAGTAAATTTCACTTTAGACCACTTATATTGACCTAAGTTGCACATTGGGCTAGGGGTGGGTCACTTTTTTCACTTTACACCACCTATTTTTACCATCCTTTGCAAGTTGGACCAGGTTTACTGATTGTGCCACTAGACTGGGCTTCGACCCACGCAAGAAGGTGTGCGTTTACTAGCGGCCGGCAGTCCCCGTCTCCGGGCACCGTCGAGGGCTCCCTCGACGGCGGTTCCGTCTCCCTCTCTAGTACGACCGTACGAGTACTTCCCTCCCAACCCAAAAAAGTCTCCCTTGACACGCGACTGTTATGCAGCAACATGAACTCAACAATCGACACACAAACGCCACCGTCCACCAGCTGAAGACCCTCGTTGCATACGGCTGGGGTGAAAAGGTGGTTGTCGGCGCCAAGGTGGAGCAAGTCTCGTCACCCGGCCGTGTCGCCATCGTCAGGGCAAAGGGCCTCTGCCTGTTGGACACCCATGCCACCTCGATCGATGGCTTCCTGAGGATGGAATCGCTGGGGTTGTTGACTGGCTCGTTGCTAGCATGCTTCTTGGGTTTATGAGGCAGACAGGTATGCGTCTGCTATTCGATCATGGAGCAATCCATGGAGAAAAGTTTTGACCCTGGGAGTTGGAGAGTGAAACAAAGCAATGTATTCAGTAATTCCTATGAGATTTGGGTTTTGTGGGGTAATCAATATTTCTCTTCTGCTCTTCGAAAAAACTAGAGTAATTAATCCGTACGTGTTCCTCGATTGGTAACCGGAAACATGTCAAATTTTCTCAAGAAAAGAGAAGATCGGATCTTGATTACTGCTAAATGGAATAGCCTTTTTTTTTTTTGCTTCTCATGCATGATCTGAATGGGATAGTTCTGGACTTCTGGTATGGTCTCGGATCCTGTCAACGTAATAAGAAGTGTCGTAGTATTGTTTTGAGCGCGACGGGGCCGAGCATGATCACCACAGGGTCCGCATCCACTGGACGACGACATGCTCGCCCTCGCTGATGACCACCCCGACGCGTCGCACACGCTCCTGGTATCACGTACCACCGCCACCATGAGCAAACACCATCTGCTCGCGTGGATTAGGCCAAAGCGCAGCCCATGCCGTAAACCTGGTCCAACCTGAAAAAGATGGTAAAATTAGGTGGTGTTAAGTGAAAAGAGAAACTTATCCCTAGCCCATTATGCTACATTGGTCAATATAGGTGGTTCAAGATGAAATTTACTCGTTTGTTTATATGGAAAGCCGCGGGACATAATGAATAGCACTTTGGATGGAGCCCTGCTCGACATCGGGGGATTCCTTTTACCGGCTAAGTTCTCTCCCATTCCCTAGAGCTCTTCCCCTTCTTTTGACTATTCTACTTCCAGACTTTGGTCATGGGGAGCTCCATGGCAAGAGCGGGAGACGTCGGTTCGGTTGGAGAGGTTCTGTTTGGTGTAGATTGGGCGGTCATCAACTTTATCTGTGCTTTAAAAGTACTTGGATGCAACAACAAGGCGTTTGTTTTGGTAGGGAGTTGGTGCACAAAGCTCCCGCTACATAAGGTCGCAATGTCGACGCCCCATTCGCCAGTGACCTTATCTAGTCATCATCCTCTGTACTGGTGATTGCTCCTATAGGTGATGGACAAGAACAACCCTGATCATACAATCCTCTTCACCATTTGACTCTGCACAGGTCCGACCAACGCCGCATGTGGCGCCAACTGTGCGGTCACCCTACTCAGCTTCGCGCCGCTAACCCAACTTGATCACCCGTGCCCATGCTTGTCTTCCGCCCATATCTAGCTCACAAGCTAAACGAGCCAAGCCGGGTAGAACTAGCTCGATATCCGCCATGTATGTAAAAATCCCACTAGTCGAGGTGGTGCAAAGATTGATGGGAGGAGATGGTTGGGCTGAGGATTTTTCCTGTTTTCAAATTTGAACTAAACCATTTAGAATTATATTCAATTTCATTTGTATAAGCACGAGCCTTCCCCATATCCACTGGTGACAAGTACTCCCTCCGTTCTAAAATATAAGCATTTTTAGCATATTGACAAGTCAAATATTTTTAACTTTGACCATTAATAGAAAGAATAAAAAAGATCAATCATGTCAAATTGATGTTACTAGATTTATCATTAAACAAACTATTATAATATATAACTCTTTTTATTTAAAACATCTTACTTTTATAGATATTGATAGTCAAGGTAGCATCTCGGAAACCGTGTCAGGATCCAAAAATATATATATTTTAGGACGGAGGGAGTACATATAATAGTCTATCCAGGCATCCATGCAGCTCAAGTGTAGGTACAGTGCAAGCAAGCAAATAGGAATATAGGAGCTTAAAAATTACTACCTCCATCCCATAATAGATGTCACTTTGACTTTTTACTTGCAACATTTGACTATTTGTTTTATTTTAAAAAATTAGTGCAAACATAAAAAAGGATAAGTCATACTTAGCTGAGTTTAAGGAGAAGATGATTGAGAAGATTAGGAAGATACGTAAAACGAGGTGAGCCATTAGCGTATAATTAATTGAGTATTAACTATTTTAAATTTCAAAAATAAATTAATATGATTTTTAAAGAAACTTCGGCATATAAAAGTATTAACCATTGGCCAAAAATTCCAAGAGCATTAGCAGCTAAGCCTAACAGTGGATTATGTCACGTTCTGTTTTTTATTTGCTTAACGTTGAGAATTTCAAATTAAGTTGAGTAAATTTCACAAAACTACGTATACTTTTGTCAATTATCACAAAACTACAGATTTAAGCTGATATATAATAGAACTACAGACTTAACAATAATTTTATCATAGATATAGATTAAGTTAGAATACTTTTGTCAATTATCACAAAACTATAGATTTAAGCTAATATATAATAGAACTACAGACTTAACAATAATTTTATCATAGAACTATAGATTAAGTTTGAGGCTAAGTATGGCAAAACTACGTATAAATAACAAAATTATCACAAAACTATAGATATTGGGGTTTAAATCATTAGGGCTAATATTATGTTTGAGTTATAAAATACCCAAATTTTGTGATTAAAATTGACATTAAAATTATAGTTTTGTGATGACTTGTAAATCCGTAGATTTGTGATATTCAATCTTAAATTTATAGTTGTGTGAGAAATTTTGTGTTTAATCTGTAGTTTCCTGATAATTTGATCAAATTACATGTGATTTTGTGAAATTTACAATATTAATTATAAGTTTATTTGCCTAAATTACCTTTGTAAAAAATTATCTCCCCTCGCCATCCTTCCTCTCCTTCCCAAGTCTTCCCACCCAGGCGCAGAAGTGGCTCCGGCGGCCGGAAAGTCACCGGCGATTCGGCGGCGCCGGCGGCGGCGGACCCCTTTCTCCACCCCTGCCTTGCTCCCTCCCGTCTCCTCCATCAGCTGACTTAACTACACTCCGTAGGAGATTTTCAGATCGAGATTGCCGGCCATGGCGTCGGGCCTTGTCGTCGCCGCCACCGACCCCCTCCGCGCCTTCCTCGCCTCCGCCGCCGCCTCCCACGACCTCCCCGCTGACCTCCGCGACCTCGCCTCCTCCCTCGCCGCCCGCTCCGCCGTCCCCTACCGCTCCCTCCGCGACATCTGGTGCGCCGCCTCCCCCGGCGCCCGCCCGCCCCTCCGCCGCCTCCTCCACGGCGCCGACTTCCTGCTCTCCAGCCCCAAGCCACGCGACAAGGTCGGTCACTCATCGAGCAACGAAAAGAAAATTCTAGTGTTTCTGTTTTTGTTTTAATCTGTGGTTTGATCTGGCTGTGCAGAGCGATGAGCTGAAGGCGAGGCTGGACAAGCTCAGGGAGATGCAGGAGAGGAAGGAGTACGCCGAACTCGTCAGGGATGTCGCGCCGCCGGCGAAGGAGGACAGCCCCGAGCTCTTCTCCTCCTACAAGGACCAGATTGGATTTGGTACCATTATCTTTGTGCCAAGATCATCATATTCCCATGACATTGCCATTAACAACTTCCTTTACTAGCTTAGTTTCTGACTTGGTTTACAGTAAAATGCACACTTTAAAGCTCGCTCACATATGTGTGCGTAATTGTCTGTTCAGTCGCGCAAATATGTTTGACTAGTTAGTTCTAACAAAATTAGTTACTTTTAACTATATAAGGAATAATACTATTTCGCTGCATACAACTCTATTACTCCCTCCGGACCGAAATATATGATGTTTCAGACAGTGGAATTGACTTGCGCTTAGTAGAATTTGCTAATATTGACCTGAGGGAGTAGTATTTTCATGAACAATGAAGTTCAAACTTTCCTTGCGGTAAGACAACTAGACAAGTGAATGAATCTGCGTGTTAATTTTAGTACACTTAATCCTCTTTAAATCTTACTAGTTAGTGTACCTTTTGCTCTGAACTTGGACTGCTAATATTTACTTGTATGGCTTTCACTGGCCAATGATTGTTTTGCCTCTATTTCAGGTCTTCATGTTGTTCTTATAATGTTATTGCACTACGATAATCAGAATTCCTGTCAGCTTGCTTCTAACTAGGTTTAGAGTAAATTGCATATTTCAAAGCTTGCACACACATGCATACAATTGTGTTGGACTAATTACTTCCAAGTTCTCGCACTTGTTGGTCACTTCAATCACCTAGAGGCATCTATTCAGTACACATTCTTGAAAAGTGTTACAATTGATGGATCCAATAAAATTAGTTTCTTTCCACTGTGAGGATAATATTTCACTGTGTATAACTCTTTTAGTATAGCATTTTCATGTACAACAGGGTTAGACCCTTCCTTTGCTGTAGATAGGTGAACCAGCATGCCAATTATAGCACACTTAATCCTCTTTAAATCTCACTACTTAATGTACCTTCAGCCTGGAGCTAGGGCTGCTAATATCAGCTTGTATGGTATTCCACTGTACAATTGATTGCTGTGCTTCTATTTTCAGGTCTTCATGTTGTTCTTATAATGTTCACGGGTTATTTGGTTGGATTTGTTGCTTTCAGAGCTCTGTTCAACAACAGTCCTGTAATGGTAAGTCCGCAAGAAACACACTACATGGTGCATCCACTATTTCTCTTGTCCTCTTGCACCATCTTTGGCATCATATTGTGTTGGCTTGGCAAGTTGGCATAATATTTCTTTCCTGCAAAACTCTATGACTAAGCAGGCTAGTAAAGTTGCATTATCTATCTTAGTGGTGTTTCTGGTAAACATTAGTGGGTAAAGGCACAGGGAAGACTTCCTGGTTTTGAATGTTGACAAGTTTTTTGTGTGTTTGTCCAAACCATTTAAAACAGGACTTTCTCCAAACCTTGTGAGTTGTGTTATAATAACAACCTTATTTATGACTTTCCAGAATGCTGCTGGAGGCATCTTAGGATTAGTCGGTGGCATGCTGATGGAAACGGTTCTTTTCATCATCAGATCATCTAGTAAAGAATTGGCCACTTCTGTTCCAAGACCAAAGAAAGTTCAGTAGACATCTGTTTTGGTTTCAATAGTCAGTTTTAATGAGGATACGACTGAAGTTTTTACCTTCTGATCTGAAGTGAACAATACGAATGATGAGAAACATGTTGTAAATGTAGCCGATAAGTGATCCGAGGGGTCACATCAGGAGGAGTTATTTGTGGAGTCCGCGATGGGATGAAAATGTAATTATCTTTAGTTTTGTCGATGTTCTATGCCAGTGCACAATCTGTCTGATCAGGATAATATATTACACGGCGTTATCAGTCGATATATTAATTAATTTGCCAGCTGGGTTGTCAACTGATTTGTGCCAAATGCTCGATATATTAGCAGTACAATTAAGGTTTATGTATGTTTGAATGACTTGCCCCTATAATGTTCAAATCAATCTTTGCCAACTACTCACTCCGTCTCAAAACAATTTTATATTTAGCCTATCTCATATATCCTTTGAATCAAAGGATTTATATAGGAATTTCATAGGATTCAAATTCTATAGGAAATTTTTCTATTTGGCCCTTTGATTTAAAGGATTGAAGCTTTCTAAATCCTATGAAATTCCTATGGAATGGCACAATGCATGTGGATTTTGGAGGAAATTTAGCAAGAGCTCTAACCTCTTGGAAAATTTCCTTTGAGTCTATCTCTCTCATTCGATTCCTGTGTTTTTCCTGCGCTCCAATCAAACGACAATTCCTGTATTTTTCCTGTGTTTTGCAATCCTCTGTTTTACACTTCAATTCCTGTCAAAATCCTGTGTTTTTCCTATTCCTCCGTTTTTTCTACCATGCGATTCAAAGGGCTCTAAAAATAAATAAGTTTCACTTCTATTATCATACTCTACCATGGGTTTACAAATCAATGAGTTCTTGATACTCCTTACGAAGCTCTCACCAATACCACCCACGAATACTGCTCGTTTTTTTTTAATTAATGAGAGTCACTTTGGTCACTTTTCTTCAACCTTTGTTTACACACGAGGATGAAAAGTGAAGTTATTTTGGGACGGAAGGAATATTAGCCACTTAATTGTACTACAACAGGGTCGATGTCATGTGATGTGTCGCATCATGCATGTACATGTACACACACAATAGCTGCCTTGAATTGTTCTCTAGTCAGATTGAATTCTGGTCAAAATGATCAAACTTATAAATTAACCCAAGTAGGATCCATGTATCCATAGGATTTTGCTAACCTGTAAATTTAAAACCAGTGCCACAAAAAAAAAAGGAAGTCAAGCCTATGTTCCTCGCTGACTCACTCAAATATACTCCCTCCATATTTTAATGTATGACGCCGTTGACTTTTTAACCAAAGTTTGACCATTCGTCTTATTCAAATTTTTTATGCAAATACAAAAATACTTATGTCATGCTTAAATAACATTTGATGATAAATCAAGTCACAATAAAATAAATGATAATTACATAAACTTTTTGAATAAGACGAAAGGTCAAACGTTTGTTAAAAAGTCAATGGCGTCATACATTAAAATACGGAGGGAGTAGTATTTGTTACTATAGCTAGAGCCAAATGAATGCACAAGCTAGCGGGTAATATTATAATTGTTTTGCTAACTCAAGTTGTGGCAAAATGTACACAGATGTGGGCCGGGAAACCTCCACAAAAAAGATCAAAACACGATCAAATTAGATGTGATTATGCAATTCTTGTGCTCCAAAACGTTTCCTTTGGTTCGAGGACAGAGATATCGTCTATCAATCACAAATTCTCGCCAAATTAAGTACAGCATATGCATTAGTTGTCGCCGTGTGTCCAAGGGTTTCAGAGTACATGAAGTGTCGGCCAAACCAAGGCACTACATGTGGCTGCAGAGTGATTAGTACTGCTACTTAAATTGCCAAGAGTAGGATCAACTTGATCTAGTTGAGACAAAATTCATGCATCCATCCATAAATTGATACCTAAAAGGTTGAATATTCTTCAGGGCAGGCATGAATTAATATGAATAAGCTAGAAGAATCGATCAAATCTCATCCATATACTATATGTATAGTATTATAGTACTGTAACATGGTAGCTAGGAGTGGTTTAGAGGAGACTCGTTGATTGGTGTTTAAGTGTACTCTATCATCTTCTTGGATGATTGTTAGTGGTCAATTAGTAGGATATATTACAATTATTAAAGAAACCAGGTTCGATTGAAAGAAAAAAGGTTTGGTTGGGAAGAGAGCATGGTAGCTAAGGTACGTTAGATTTCAGAATATACAAATTAAGCAACCAGTTAATCGATACTACTCGCTCTAGTATTTGTCCATGCCATGTAGGGGCATAGAAAATTGCTGTATATTAATATATAGCCTTCATTAGAGGGAAACATATCCTGATATACTTATTATTTTATCATTTATTTTATTGTAACTTAATTTATCATTAAAGATTCTTTAAACATTGCATATATAAGAATATGTTTTAACAAAAATTTTGAATAAGACAAATGGTCAAACATGCATTCAAAAGTTAACAAATGTCGTATATTAAATATCGGAGGAAACAATATATATGCAATGGTATCAAAGTTTCTCTGATTCTATTGAATACTACTGTAGTTTTCTGTGCTCTTGTATGAAAGGCCTGAACAAATATTTTCAAAAAGAAGAGGCGGTATAGTGGTATATGGGAAGAAACAAAAACCACACAATTAATTAATTTACACCACCTGCTTCAAGCAATTCTAGCTTGCTCCGAACTGCAAGTTAGCCTTTGCCGAGCTGTACTACATTTTTAATATGTTCATAGATATTTGATGTTTAATGAAATCATGTTATTTTTAGGTCTGACCTATCCATCTACTACCTCCATATTTATAAATATATGATGATACCATTGATTTTATATGGTCTCTAAAAAATACTCTGTTTTTAATTATAATATGAAGATAATATCTAACAAAAAATTATAATATTGTACAATTACTTATAAAAAATCTACCTAAATGATCTATATGTTTTCAGATTATAAATATTGTGTGAGTTATCAATAGTTAAAGTTTTAAACATTTTACTGAATAAAGTTAATAATTATATATATTTTAATATGGAGCGAGTATACGATAGCAGTGAATTTGACGTGAAGCATATATGTTAATGTTACAATAGTGTAATATTATCAATGCGGAACTGCATAAAAATAAAATTTGGCACCGCAGATCACCACTCAGACAACACAGTTAATCTCGGATCATAAATGCCAGAATTCATCCTGACCGTGCGATGTACCAAGTCAGTTTCGCAAACTTCAATGTCAATCCCCTCGCTAATATATAGTGTGAGACAGTGAAACTCTCCCTTCTCTAGAAAACAAACTCAAGAGTAACTAACTAGTATGTAGTGTAGACCTCCATAAGAAAAGCATTATTTTTTCTTGATTAGTTCATATCTCCTCACCACAAATTAATTGTAACAGTTCCTGAAAAGAAAAAAAAACAAAATAAATACTGAATGTTTTTATCTCCCTTTTGGTTTATTTATACCCTCACCATCCAATCAACTACTATTATTGTTTTCTTTCCTTGTTTATAGAGAGAATCAACTGGAGTAGTAGTTTTGGTTTAACTAGTAATATGATTTTTCTATGCAACATGTAAGACATATATAATTAGAGATTAGATGTGTAGATGGATTAAGGATAAAGCATAGACGGACCCATATAATAAAAAATTAGTTGGGTTATTGGATTAAGAAGAAAGTAATACCTCTGCTTTTAATATATATGACGCTATTAATTTTTTTACCAACGTTTGATCGTTCGTGTTATTTAAAAATTTTGTTCAAATAAAAAATATTTATATCATATGTTTAAAGAACATTTGAAGATAAATCAAATCATAATAAAATAAATAATAAGAATATAAATTTTTAAATAAGATGAATGATCAAAGTATCTTAAGAAAATAATAGCGTCGTATATTACGAAACGAAGAAAGTAGTAGATGTTCCTGTGGTTACGCACATTGAAGAAGCGTTCGATCTTAGCGTACGTTGAGAAGGGGACGTACGACTGAGAGACAACTAGGGGTGGTGCATGGTCATGGTCAAGCCAAGTTGAATCCACTGCCCTCCTTGACCTGCTGCTGCATGCCCCTGCTCCTACGATTCTCCCAATCTCTCACATCACATGGAGTTGAGACTCACGCCGTGTTTAATTCCAAAATATTTCTTCAAACACTCAACTTTTTCATCACATCAAAACTTTCCTACACATAAACTTTCCTGACTGCTTCAAGTCTCCTATTATTTTCCCTCGTCAACGTTGCAAGCCCACTCCCTCTCCTCTTATAAAAAACCAAGAAAACCTAGCCATCCATCAGAAGCAACCAAGCTAGCTAGTGCTACACTTGCTGCCATGGAGGGTGCACTCGCGCGCTCGCTGGCCACCGCCGCCGCCGCCGTCATGCTCCCGCCACCGCCGGCGGCGAGCTCGCTGAGGCGGAGGAGTAGTAGTAGGGTGGCGGCGAGCGGCCTCCGGGCAAGCGTCAGTGCCAGTACAGCTACGAGTAGTACGAGCATGGCTCAGCTGGTGGCCGCCGGCGGCGGCATCGACGAGCTCAGGCTCGTCGACGAACGCGCCGCCGTGGCGGCGCTGCAGCAGCAGCAGCTTCCCGTCGGCGGCTGCGAGGTGGAGAAGCTCCGGGCCGTCGCGGAGGCGGCGGCGGACCGGGCGGAGATGCACGACATCATCGGGAGGCAGCGGGACAACTGGAACCACCTGCTGCTCCACTCCAACAACTCCCTCCTCCTCGCCGCCTCCCTCATGGCCGCGCTCGCGCCCGCCGCCGCGCCGACCGTCGTGGCGCTCAAGGCGTCCGCGGGGGTCCTCCTGGCCTCCGCCGCCGTCACCATGGCCGCCGTCAACAAGATCCAGCCATCGCAGCTCGCCGAGGAGCAGCGGAACGCCACCAGGCTGTGGAGGCAGCTGGAGCGCGACGTCCGCGCCACGCTCGCGCTCGCCGCCGCGCCGGTGACCAGGGCCGACGTCCACGACGCCATGGACCGGGTCCTCGCGCTCGACGCCGCCTACCCGCTGCCTCTCCTCCCCGTCATGCTCGACAAGTTCCCCAACGCCGTCGAGCCCGCCCGGTGGTGGCCGCCGACCAAGAAGCACCAGCAACGCTCTCCGACCAAGGTAGCAGCAACCAATGGCACCGCGTGCCGGCGAGCCACCTCCATGGCCGGGAACGGCTGGACCCAAGAGCTGGAGGAGGAGATGCGCGGCATCCTCCGTGTCATCAAGGCCAAGGACGAGAACGAGTACGTCTCCGTCGGCAAGCTGGTCCTCGCCGTCAACAAGCGCCTCGCCGTGGCGGGGCCAGCGCTCGCCGGCGCCGCCGCGCTCGCCGCGGCGTTCATCGGCTCCGCCGGCGAGGCCGGCGCGTGGGCGTCCGGCGCCGCCGTCATCGGCGGCGCGCTGGCGGCGGCGGTGAACACCGTCGAGCACGGCGGGCAGGTGGGCATGGTGTTCGAGCTGTGCCGCAACGTGGCCGGCATCTACCGGAAGATCCAGGAGGACATCGAGGCGAACCTGGAGGAGGCCGACGTCGAGCGGAGGGAGAACGGCGAGGTGTTCGAGACGAAGGTGGCGCTGCAGCTCGGCCGGAGCACGTCGGAGCTCAGGCAGTTCAGGGCGATGGCCTCGCCGGCGGTCAAGGACGAGGACATCAGGGAATTTGCCGGCAAATTGGTCTAGATATATCCGTTAATTAATCCAGTGTAATCTAGTTAATTAATTAGCTGTATAGTATAGCACGCTATAGTCTAAGTGTCCATCTGAGGAGCCTAGCTGGAGGGAAACTATTTTTATTTTTATCCCTCGAGTAGATGTAATTTTATTTATTTAAAAACCATCTGAACAATTATAAAAAATTGTCGAAAAAATTTGATAACACTCATCCAATATATATGTTAGATATAAAAAAAATACATTGAGATATAAAAAGATTAATTTAATGTATGAAGAACAATTTAATATATGTACTATGGGATATTGGTTTCCTTGGTTCTTTGACCACCTACATGGACTTATTTTTTCTTATGTGTCATCATTTCTTTCTTTGTACTATATTACATAAAAGACACACACATCCACCACTCGTATCCATAATTATGTTTGGAAAAATCCATCTCCCAAGTATGTTTTCTTACTGCACACTTTAAAAAGATATAAGCGAAAGGGTAAATCCCTCGTGTTCTTACTGGAGGCTTAGTACTCCTTTGGAACGTACGAAATAAGAAACAATAGGAAAAGAAAAATAAACAGGAATAAAATATGATGCCATATAAAATTTTGCAGGAATTGAAAACAGGGGAACTTGTCGAATTGGTTGTATGGATACTTGACACGAAAATCAAAAAATTTGGAGGAAAATATCATTAAAGTAGAGTTAAGAGAATAGAAATAAAGTAGGTGTCTTGGACTTTCTAAAGGAATTCAAATCATGAGGTTTGAGCTCATGCTTCAAATCCTAAGTAAGAATTTGAGGAAAAGAAAAAATTGCATGGAACCCTTTCAACTAAATTGTACACACCAAAGGATCACATAGAAAATTATCCTACAAGACCCTATTCTCAAGTGTGTTTTGGAACGGATGATTAGCTGCTTGCAAAATGAGAGACATGATTAGCATATAATTAATTAAGTAGTAGACCAGATTTCACATATAATGAACCATTTAAATGCTTTCATCACCTGTTGACCAGTTTGCACATATATAGTAGGGTTCATGAAACCGCTCAGGAACACAAAATGATCAGTTTCATAGTCAAGTTCAAAAAAAAAAACAAACTAGATTTTAAATTGTTATAAAAATTGACAGATTTTAACGGTTACCATTTAAATGGTTCTTGCAAAAAAAAGCAAAAAAAAAAAACACCCTGGTTTTGCGAACCTTGTTTGTAAATCGGTTTTGGATGCACGCAATAAAATCCTTGGAAACTAATACATGACATGATCACAAACATTATACGCAAAAAAGATTGTAGATTTATATAGATTTAATTTATTCCAAAACTAACGAAAATTATTATAGCCTTGGTTTGCCATGTACAATATCTCTCTTTCAAGATGCATACTCCCTCTATAAAAAAAATCAATCTAAGAGGGGATGTGACCTCTAATAGTACAATGAATACAAACTAGAAAGGGTCATAGGTTAGCTTTTTTTTTTTTTTGGACGGAGGGAGTTGAATTTTGTTCTCTCTCTAGAATTGAGAATCCATGGAGTATGGATATATAATCAATCAATCGTTGTAGGCGTCGAAGGCCCAAGAATTCTCCTTGCGGACGTCCTGTTCTTCCTCGTCGGTGTAGTCGTTGGCGATGCCGAACACCTGGCGGATCCCCTCCACCGTCCGGCCGCGCATGCACGCCGCCACCTCGCGGCTCGCCAGGTCGGCCAGCCGCTCCACCCGCAGGAACGCGGCGGCGCGGAGGAGGTCCACCACCGTGCCCACGTCGGCGCCGTCCATCAGCTCGTCGTCGAACCGCGCCAGCGGGTCGTCGAACCCGTACCCCTCCGGCGCCGCGAACTCGCCGCCCTCGCCGCCGCCGCCGCCGCCGTAGTGGCGGTCGCAGTAGTCGGCGACGCGGGCGAGCACGGGGCGGGCGACGCCGGGGACGTTGATGAGGACGTCGTCGGGGACGGCGGCGTGGCGGGGCGTCCGCCGGATCGCCTCGTCGAGCCTGGCCCTCGCCGTCGCCGACGCCGCCGCCATCGTCGCCGCCGAGACGCGGACGCGGATGCCGTCGAAGCCGCGCAGCGTCACCGTCCTTATGTATCCGCCGCCGCCGTTGTTGTTAGCATTAGTCGCCGTCGCCTTCGCCGCTTTGCCGGCCATGGCGATGGTATGATCTGTTCGACGAGGTGATCGATCGGTCTGATTGATTCTTTGTCGATGTGTCGATCGATCGATCTGTGCGTTGGTATATATGGGGGAGAGATGGGGATAGCTAGGGTTCTTGGCGGACTTGGATTCGTACTACGTGAATCTATACAGAATCTAAGTAGGATTGTGATTAGGCCTCCGGATTAATTAGAGTTGATGCCTACCAGGAAAGGAAAACGCATGGATGGGTTGGGCCGTGAGAGCGATCCAGTAGCCCAATGTTTTTAGCTTCAGATGGAATAAGTCCGCTATGACTCCCTCAAATATATATCCAATCAATAATAGATATATACTCCATATTGGGAGTGCAGTAGAAAACTAGTACTTCTTCAAGGTGGGTCCTAGCCCCACGTGTCAATGAGACAGACAAGAAGTGCAAAAAAGTATTGAATTGTTGCAGTGAAAAACAAGGAAATTCTTCAGCATGTTGAAATTTTGGTTGATGTTTGTGCTATTGGCTGTTAATGTTTTCTTTTTTGAAGATGGAAAGCACAACGCGCCATCAAGAAGAGAAGCGTTAGTATTTGGAGACATTTTGGATTTCCTATCTTGTAAATAATTGATATATAGTCTCAAAGAGGACGTTACAAATTGTTTCGATATAAATGAACTGCCTATCGTTTCTTAGAGCTAGGACCGAGCACGGTCCTACTCCTAGCAATTAACATAACTACGAATTTTACCAACTCTTCTTTTACCATAAAAAGAACTGAGGCGGCAAAGACGCTCTGTACAATCTTCGTACCCATTCCTTTGTAAAACCCGTGCAATCCTTCATACCGGATCATCTTTATGATCGCGTCAATCGTACCTGGCGAACACAGGCAGTCAGCATAATATTACTTGCACAATAGCAAATATTCCCTCCGTCCCAAAATATTTAGATTTGTAGCTAAAAATTGTTACATTTTAGAACGAAGGGGGTATAGCTAAATGTCTGACATACAAGACATAGGAGCAGCATGGAAAAACAATGGTCCCAACAAATATGGAAATGAAACAGTGTTTTCGGCTAGTAAGTTAAAATGGTAGGAAATGATTTACCTGTGTATCTTGACATCACATTCCTGCCAATTTCTTGTTTTGCTTGCAACCTAGACTGCATTAGTTCAATACAACAATCAGGACAGCACGAACAAACATGACACTATTTTGATAATGTAAACCATTCATACACTCAACCCAGATAGACTGGCATTTCCTGCAACTACTTGCACCCGTGGCAGGTCTAGATATTGGCCTTGTTTGGATCCTTCGGGCTATTAAAGTCTCACAAGATTAAATTATATTCTGAAGGAGAGCAAAAATGTGGTGCGTGCAGCATATTCAAGGGTTGTTGTATGCAACAATGTAGGACAGCTATTAGTACTGTAGTTGTTTGCTGAAAGCATTTGTTTTAATAACAGAGAAACAGAGTAGAGAAATGGAAAAGAAATCTCTAGCATCGATGTGGACTTCCGGGTTTCTATTCAGGCATATTTTGGAAATCCTGAGTGGCCCATCACTGGCTGATCTGACAGGCTAGTAATTCCTCATTTCTTAATAAAAAAAATTGAGCTTAAACAGATGCACAAGTGAGAAATGCATCAATTTTAACACTTTGCACAGGATAAGATGATTTACATGTATATAATATTAAGTTTACCTTAACCACTAGCAATGGGTATGTCACAACAGTAGCTCCGAGCTTTGCTATTGCACCTAATAAGAATACCTGCTCAAAGAGAAAATGGTAAGAATAGGACATATAAATATATCAAAGGAAATTTCAAAGAGCTTTAGATGTTATTTAGCTCTGGATCTGAAGAACAAAGAAACAAATATATGGTCTGTGCTATGGACATAATTAAACAAAGGGAAGTAATAATGATGAAATTTTCTTTAGTGCGTTCATAAAATCATAAAGTGACTGCATAACTAGTTGTAAATATATGAAATTACTCTGTCCTGGCGCTTTATGTGGCCAAATTATCTGGTTTGCTAAAATAATTGTAGCATGCATCTTTAAATATAATACTTTATGGAATACAAGAATTATAGACGAATGATTTGAAAGTAATTAAAGTAATCCCAACAATGAATTCCTTTTACATTGAACCAAATATTATTGATCATGATCAATATAGCTTCATTTGCATCAAAGCGGATAAACAATGAAGAGATTTACAGGATTGAAAGATACAATTCAAATTTCTAGAAATAAAAAAGAAACATGAAGTTCCTAGGAAGACAGTACATGCAAATAGCTGATGCCATCTAACTGTTAAAAGTTCATATATCCACAAACACAGATACATGCAAATTTCTAATGCAGAGCTAACTTGAAAAAACAAAATCCATACCTCCATAGCAGTAAGGTTCTTTTTTGGGAGTTCCTTTCCAGATCTCTTTGACCGGAGACGCTTTGCCAATGTTTCATAGATCATAAATTGTATTGATGGATTACATACCTAGCAAATTTAAATGGTTCATTCTCAATAGTCACTTGCATAACCACTAATTTCAGTTCAAATGTTTTGAGAAACATAAACTAACCATAATTAGTGTCGGAATAAGTCCTTTCCAGAATCCTCTTATGCCTGATTCACGGTAGACCTCCCGGACCTACATACTACTGATAAAAGTAAGAAAAATCATGTCTGACAAGTGACAAATACATTTGATTAGTTAAAAGCAAGTTTATAGGGCCCAGAACTTGAAATGCCATTGCAGCTACTATTCAATGTATACATGCGCAAGTTTTTTGCAAACAGAATTTTAAAATCTGTAAGTGCAGCAATTAATCCTAGAAGGAAGAAAGCAATTTGGTAAAAAAAAATTCAAGAATTCTTGTACTATCTAAATAGTACAAGTGAGAAATCTATCTAAATATCTAGATGTGGTCTCAACTCTCAACAAAAGATAGAGAGAGGGATGGGGTGTGGGGGTGGGGGATTCATATACTATCTTATTTTATTTGTTGCATAATTGTTAAGAAATGGATTATATATACAAAATAATGTATAGCAACTTAAGGAATGTGAGTGTGCTCAATTACTCACCGCTTGAATTGTCCCATATGGACGAGGCTTTTCAGAATCAAGTTTATACAACCTATCCTTAAGAATTGAGACCTCTATTGAATTGGCCCTAGCAACATCCTTCAGCAAAAGCTCCTTTTTAGACTCCATGATCTTCTTTTCTGCTTGCGTATGTGTCTGAAAAATGGAATAAAGTTAATTTCCAAACTGATGATAAAATACTTTCAGATATTTTGAATAACATTAGAATGTTCCAATTTAATAGTACTTGCATTTTTAGTACAAGCTTGGTTACAACCAACCATGGTCTTCCAACTAATTTCACAAAGGATGCCATGGACCAATATCCTTGTGATTCGGCACCTCCGGAAGTTTCATGGATCATTGTCATCATAAAAAACAAAGCTAATGCTTGGAGTCAGGCAGGTACAAAGAAGTTAAGTATGCTACCAGAAAGTGGGGGCAAAAGCAACTGTAATTAAATTCAATGGGTGCAATACCAGTGTTAATATTCTAATACATTAGAAGATTTTTCCTCTTCTTTGAATTTTGACAGGACATACAGTAACTCATTAACCCCATCATCGATGATCTTTTTTGGTGTTTACGTCATTTTAAAATATAGACTGTCAAACAAAATTTACCTGCATACGAGTCACGAGAACCCATATTGGATTGGTAAGAAGAACATTGATTGACCTGCAGAAAAGAAAAGTGTCCATCAGAATGCCCGAGGATCAATGTTGCAATATTACATTCAAAGTGCAATCTTGGCAAGTGGAATTAAAATAACTGGGAAAAAGAACTGATCTACAACCTGTATGAAGAATTGTAACAATGCAATCAAGTTGATGAAGTTTGAGCTTTATAATATTAGGAAAATAGAATCTTGTTAACCTTGTTGAGTATTCTTATCATTTAGTATTGTCAAATTTATGTTCATGTCTTGTTAGGAAAGTTTTTCTTAAATTTTCTCCCTGCATCCAATACAATCTAGTGCAAATCCCATTAAACATTGAAGGGTGATCCCTTTGTCAAGAAGTTTCTGATGAATTTGTTATGGTTGGAGCCTTGGATAGATCGATGCATAAACGACTAGAAAGAATAAGTGTACTGGTGACTATTTCACAATGCTATGGTTTTCCAGAACAAAAACCATCTTAACTGGAAAGGATTACATGCTTCAAATTCAAAGTTAATCACTGCTTCAGTCAGTTCTAAGGAGGCAAGGCCATACGAACAATCATGGCAACCATACGTTACCATGAATTACATTTTCTTATCTCCCTTTCCAAAACAATTCAGGTTTCAACACTATGTTAGCCTTTGCAAGCTCAGTCAAATTCATCAGAACTCTATTGCTATTCGTTTGATAGTATGCTATAGAAATGTCCTCTTGGACCACTAGCAACTGATAATGTCCCAGTTGTCCAGAGTCCAGACTGTATTGTTCATTCCAGCATTAAATGGAGACAAGCATTCGAATTTTTTTTGGGTGAATGTTGGGGCTCCAGGTTGACTTGACATATAAATGATGTTTAGCAATTTCAGTGCAAGAGTGATGGCTTACCCAGCAACAGCTGCAATACCAAGCCAGGAGAACATCCCAACGGTACCATCCCCTAGACCCTTCTTACCGCGAGCAACTGCTAGATCTTCCACCTTGTTTTTGAGAATCTGGTAAAAGTAGTAATAGATTCCCTACAGCCACAAACAGGATGAACCATAAATCCTGAATACCACCATACAGACTCATCCAAGTATCATCACATTGACAAACAGTGCAACACAATTGTTAGAGAGAAAAAAATGATGTGAGTAGCACCAAACTTACTAAACCAGTGGAATTTACCTGTGAAGCAGCAGTGCCAATAAGAGAGGGTTTGAGGCCGCTATACAACCCTCCCCATCCTTCCGTTTGGAACAGCTGGAGTAACTCGATTACACACTTGACCATTAGAACATTAGCAGAGGCAATTCCAAATAAACTAAAATTCCGGGAGGAACTACCTGAAGCATCTGGAAGAGGGTGGAAGTATTGGCGATGGCTGCGCCATTGGCCTTCTTCTTTTTTGCCGACCTCTCTGTCTGCTGCCGGGTGTTCACCTGCTCAGGCCATCATCATGAAGCGGAAGGATTGAGCAGACTATAAGGGAACAGCAGAGCTGGAGATGGATTCTAATAGCTCGAGTGGACGTTCACCCGTTTATTGCATGTCAGCTAGATGGTTACGAAAAATTTTCAAAAAAAATGACAAGATAGATAAATATGTAATATATCACGCCACAAACATGCAAGTTCAAATTTAACTTCTACAAGTTATAACAAAAATAACAAATTTAATTGTAAATATACATATAGTAATTCAAGTTTCGTTTGTTATAATTTGTAGAAGTTGATTTTCAACTTGCATGTTTGTGGATTGATATATTACATATTGATCTATCTTGTTCATATCTACATAAGATGGTAAGGGAAGAATGATTGTACGTACGGTCTGGAGGGGGTAGGTGATGATCTGGGCGATGATGCCACCACCGGCACCAGCCAATCCATTCACTGCGGCACTTGACATGCGCCAACCTGAAAAACCCATGCGCAATCAGAAAGCAACGCAATGAATTCCTGTAAGCTACCAAGCTAGACACATTGACAAATGACAATAACATATATATGCCCTGCAGCCCTATAATAATAATATAAAAAGCTTGGTCCTCTTGCACTTTTGGGTGAAGAAACAAACAGTTACTAGTTGTATTAAGAGAGGTTTAAGACTCTCAGATTAAGGAGGAGAAGAGAAGCTAGCAGGGTTAACGCAAGCAAATTCCAGACAAAAGCAGTCCCGGTGGGAGAGAGAGAGAGAGAGGATGTGGATGCTCACCTGCTCTGATCTGCTCTCCTCTCCTCGCCAGATGGAGATCGGCAGCCGCGAGCCCGCGACTCGTTCTTGAGGAGCGGAGGAGACAACGAGACGGGAGATATCGGCAAAATATTATGCGGCGCAGAAGGGGCGGACGATGGGGGTGGGTTTTTTGCGAAAAGGCCCTGCCGAACAGTGTCCTCCCTGAGGCGATGTTGTGCGTAAGGGCCCTTCTAAAATCCGGATATTGCATGCGCAGGAGGGGAGAAACGCGAAATAGGATCGCGCTGTAGAAAACGAAAGTCGAGGGGCTTTTTAGAAAAAGTGCCGCGCACTAACATAGCCGTCACTCTCCCTCTCACGCCGCCGCCGCCTCCCCCCCGCGCGAGAAAATTGACATTTAGCCATTGTCAAAACGGGGTTTCGCTGGAATGCCACTCCCAAAAGTGGTTTCGTTAAAATGCCACCCTCAAACAGGGGCAACTTGTTGCAATGCCATTCCATCCATTTCTTCTCAGTTTAATGGTTTTTGTAATGTTTTTCTTGTTGAGATGACCAAAATACCCTTATCCTATCTCATCTCTCCTCTCTGTCTTCCTCCTCTCCGTTCGGCTCGGCGGCGCAGCTAGAGACGGAGACGGCGGCAGCGCGGCCGGAGACGGGGAAGGCGGCGGCGCGCTTGGGGATGGGGAAGGCGGCGGTGCGGACGGGGACGGTGGCGACGCGGATGGGGACGGGAAGGCGGCGACATGGCTGGGGATGGGGACGGCGGCGACTGGGACGGGGACGGCGGCGGCGCCGACATGGTTGGGGCAGGTGGGATGTTCTTCTACGCCGATGCAGATGGCGCCGCTGAGCCGAGCAGCCTTCCCCAACCCACGTCGGCGCCGTCCCCGTCGCCAGCCGCGCCGGCACCACCCACCTCATCGCCGACCCCCATCTCCATCCTCCTCGACGACCTCCTCCTCGAGTGCCTCGCCGGCGTCCCCTATGCCTCCCTCCCGCAACTCCCCACCACTTCACCACGCTTGTCGCCTCCGTCGCGCGCACGGCGAGCTCCGCTCCTCTCTCCTCGCCCTCTCCGTCACGCCCACGGCGAGCCGATGGATGTTGGCGTGGTGGTGGTGATGAGGACGAGGAGCCGGCGGCCACCGACTCGCAGCTACGCCCCGTCGCCGCCGCTACGCTCCACCGCCGGCGACTGGATGGGGATCGATCCCCTTTCTTCTTTCCCCTGCAAAGTCAACAAAATGACTAGGGGCAAATATGCCAGAGAATGATGGAAAACATTTGGAAATCAGTTAAAATGGTTGAAATGGCATTATAGTAAGTTGGCTTCATTTGACAATGGCATTATAACGAAGCCATATTCGGGAGTGGCATTCCAGAGAAACCCCATGCTGAAGATGGCTAAATGTCAATTTTCTCCCCTCGCGCCGCCGCCGCGTTCACCTCGGTCGTGCCGGCCGCCTCCTTCTCGCTCCGCCGCCGCCGCGCTCGCTGCTCTCTCTCCCTCCCATCTCGCCCTTAGTCCGCCGCGTCCGCCTCCTTCTCTCTCCTCGCTGCTCTCTCTCTCTCTCTCTCTCTCTCTCTCTCCCATCTTGCCCTTGCTTGCTGCTGGAGCTCGAAGCCCACGCCATTTTCGCGGCCGCGGGGGAACCCTAGCCCTAGCCGCGCCAGTGCGTGCGTGCGAGCGAGCGCCGCCGATCCGATCCGATCCGCTTCGCCGCCCTATGTGCCGAGGCCGTTCGAGGTAGGTGTCCCTCCAACTTCTACCTCAGCGCCCCTCTCCGTCGCATCCAGGGACTCCGCCGCCGCCGCCTCCGATCCCAGCATCCTCGAATCCGTAAGCGCACCTCCCTGCAACCCCATTGCTCGCTTTCCTTGATGTTCGAATCACGTTTTGGCTTGTTGACTCGTGTGGCTTTGCGGTGATGAGCAGGTTGCCCTCATTCTTTCCTTTCTCTTCAGCACTTATGAGTAAACACTAAAACAGAATGCGTTTGTCCAGAGGGCTGGTAGCACTGAACTACCATTTCTTCTTTAGTTGTTGCCATGTTGGCATATTCATGTCATATTATCCTATTTGTGATGTGATTTCTGACAGCATCTTGTGGATTCAGGTCAATTATATTTGATTGTACTTAATATATGGCGTTGCTATTTTCCAGTTGATAGTCCAATATTGCGCACTTGTATACCCTTCTGGAACTTCTGGTTTTCGGATTCATTGGTTACATTTTAGGGACTAATATGAACTATATATTGTAGACAGTACAAGTCAATGTATGGAGTAAATATGCACCACATTGTGTAAAATGTTTATTTTATTAGGTTTTAATAAAGGTGGTAGTTGAAATGGGTCAGCTTATCGAAGATATTACATTGAAAAGTAGAGTGCGGCCTCGGTACTCCTGAATATTTATACAGAAGTAAAACTATGCTGCCTTTGTCGTAAAATATTGATACGTTGTTCCATAAATTTGAAAAGAACAACTACATTTTAGATCAGAGCGAGTAAAAATTTATGCCCGTTCCGATTTGTATGGAATTTATAGGAGTTTTATATGATTCCAACCCATTAGAAAAGAATATTCTATAGATCACTTTGAAACATAAGATTACATATTATTTTCTATTTCGAAACTTCTGATATCAAGTGACAATTCTACATAGAGATTTTGGAGTAGATTTTTCATGAGGTTGGCATACTTGGGGAAATTTTTGCCAGCTACAACTTTTCCTAGAATTCGAAACTCCCTTAGATAATTTAGTTTTTTATTCTAATTTCAAAGAAGTTGTAGTTGTTAAATCAATAAAATATATTAAAAGTCAGAGGTTAGGAAAATCAGATTCTCACTAGCTAGATTTTTACTACCCTAGATAGTCTAATCTTTTTCCCTTGTCTTCCGCAATGGGTGCCCTCGCCAATCAGAACTGTAAATTCACCTCATACCTGCATTATCTTTGTTGATAGGCACTGATTACTTCCAATCAAGTGGGTGTCCATTTAGTTGCAACAAGCGGCGTTGTGGCACAGTTATATCTGCAGATTATATAGCTTGAGGGTCAGTACACAGCTCAAAATATCTATTTTGGGCGCTCTGCATGAGGAATATGATCACTAAAACGTTTGAGCTATTTCTATGTCATGTTACTAAGCAGTGGTCAGATATTTGACAAGAAAAATAAGCAGTGATATATTGAATATTGTTACCACCTTACTTTTTACTTCCTCCGTCCCACAATACGTCTCTTTAGCATTCAAAAATTGTCCCAAAATAATTGTCACTTGGAAGTACTATTTGTCACATCAACCACTTCCAATTCAAATTTCTCCCCATCATACACCAAACCACCATTCCACATCTAACTATATAATATTTTATTAAGGGTATTATAGTCTTTTTCTTCTAACTTTAGCACTTGCTAAACAACCTAGAATGACAAGTATTCTGGGACGGAGGTAGTATTTGTTTTGGGTAGTGATCAGGTCACTGCAAGCAGGTGCATACTTAATAAAATGACACTGCATTATGCAAGATCATCAGTGCATGTAGTGCTTCGGTGTGGTCACATCTACAGCATAGAGTTGCCACAACATGCTAGATTATCCTCTGGGAATTCTACAATTAATTATCTTAGTTTCCTCATCAGCTTTGATAAGACTTATTTATTTTAATTAACTATTAGATTAAAATAGTTATGTGAGCGTGAAAAAAGTTCTTGTGATGGCAGATTTATTTTGGTTAACTATCTTATCCTCCAAACCTTCTTTTGATTTAGGGGATGCACTTGTTATCTGAATGTATTCACCAGGAAATTGATTTATTAGAGGTAGATTGTTACATGGTGACTACTATAAAAAACAGTGAGCTATCTCCTACAGGCCTGTGTACTTCTCCCCAGTAAACTCGTCTCATCACCCTTCTAGGGAGCTGCAGCTCAGTTTGGAGTAAGCATTTCCCTTGTTCCTGGGTGCACCACCCTTCTTCACTGGATACATGCTCCTGCATGCAGGAGGCATGGAAGGACAAGTTACCACAGGGATTCCTGATATCTCCCAAGCCTACTACATATAGACTGTACATGTTACTCAATTTTTGGTCATTTAATCAGATTTTCACACAAAGACGTGCAGAGTGAAGTGGTATGTTTGGCATGTTCTTCAGAAGTATCAATTCTATGAGATTGTTGAGTGTTGACCTCCTGGTCCAAAATATGAAAAAAACAGTACTGAATGCTGACATATTCAGGCACAAAAAGTCGGTGCCAGAAACAAAAAACAGTGCTAAATGCTAAGATCATTGCCAGTAGGAAGGAGCCGGTGCTTATATATATTCAGTAGGCTAGGGGTAGGATATGGTAACGTATTCTTGTGGAATTTTCTTATTAGAACACTTTCTATCTCTCTGGCAAGTGATACAATTAATGTGGGTGAAACCCCATATCTCTCCTTATAAAGATATTAAAGAAAAAAAAAAGCATCTTATAGATACATAAAGTAACACGCTTTTCTTAGAAAGCAGCAATATACTACACAGGATATTTGGTGTTGTGTAATCACTATATTGGATGTTCTGAGTGTTCCCCCTTCTACCATTGCGGCAGGATGGTAAATGCAAGAAGCCAAAGGGTAAGCACAAGGTTGTACTATTGGGCTTTTCGCGCATCAAGAGGTGTGTATTCCTGGTCATTAGGTCACTGAACTACAGCCTACAGGTTTGATAATTTTATTCTCCCATTGTTTCATGTTGAAAACCACTACTTGAGTTGATTTATGATGGCCCTTATTCCTGTTACATGCGAGTTTATATAAATGAATCTGTCTAATTCAATCCTTCGTGTAGTTTACTGTTCTAGACAAATTAAATGTGTTATGTTCCTTTTTGCATGGGATTCTCAGGTTAATTACCTTTATTCAGCCCATATCCTTCCACCATACAGTAATTCATCGCCTGCTGGATTTTCTACAGCTTGTATGGATTTAGTTGTTCTATATAGTACAGTGAAAATCTAAAGTTTATACAGTCAACATAGTTTACGATTTAAAGGCTATGACACCTTTGCGTAAGGGTTCCACTATTTGTTTGGCACACCTCATGACAAAGTACATATTTCTCCATGGTTTATTCCACTGAGTATTACTGAGTAACTAATATTGTAAATCCAAAGTTATAAATTAAAATGTACTCTTAGTTCTGAAACATAATGATATGTTTGGCTGTATGAACATGTTCTCAATTGTTCGGGATAGTGTTATTGTAACTTGCTTATGTTGTTTGTTGCTCTAATACACGAGACATGAAAATCAAATGGTTGAATAATATACTCCCTCCGTTTTTTAATAGATGACGCCGTTGACTTTTTCTCACATGTTTGACCATTCGTCTTATTCAAAAAATTTACGTAATTATAATTTATTTTGTTATGAGTTGTTTTATCATTCATAGTACTTTAAGTGTGATTTATATCTTATACATTTGCATAAAATTTTTGAATAAGACGAATGGTCAAACATGTGAGAAAAAGTCAACGGCGTCATCTATTAAAAAACGGAGGTAGTATATCTTATTGCAGCTGTCGAAATGTAATGTAGCTGTAGTCTTTCCAAGTGATGGCATAAGAAGTATGTATCTACTCTGTGCCAGTGGAATGCAAATGTATTCATCTATTCAAACTCAATTCGGTTGAGAACGTCATATGTTCTGGATCCAACCTTACCTGTGCTTCCTTGTTTTGTTCATGCAGATTTCACTCTGTGGCATACCTTCAGCAAATATGGTGCTTTGAAGTGGTTGGAGAGATCGATTTCAGCTTCCGTGTGTTAACCTACAGCTTATACTTCAGGATTCATCTCGGGAGGTTCTACAAGCGATTTGGACGCCGAGCTTGCAGCACTGAGCATGTCCATGGTTGGGACCAGAAGCCTGTTCGCTTCCAGCTCTCCACCTCTGATGGGCAGCACTCATTATCTCAGTGCTCCCTGGGTGAGCCCGGGAGCTGGGTACTTTACCATGCTGGCAATTTTGTGGTCTCAAAGCCTGACCAAACAATCAAGCTGAAGTTCTCGATGGCTTAGATTGATTGCACACACACAAAAGGTGGGTCTTTGTGTCGACTCGGCGTTCATATACCCAAAGGGCTTTCAGCAGGAGAGGATGGTGAGGTCTCAGAAATGTAGATGCTGACAAGGAACTTACATTAGATTGTAGACAAATGCAGCTTGCAGCCTAATTCTATTTTTAATCTGGGCTCATGTAGACAAAGGTGTATATAATTGTAGGCTTCAATTTTGTGTGATCGGTAACATGGATGTTCTCATATAATTAGTGTCTCCTTGATTGTGCTGATGTCTTTCAGGCGGCGCGCGAAGGCGCGCCCCATCATGTACTTCCTCCGTTTCAAAATATAGCAATTCAAATTTATAGCTAAAAATTGCTATATTTTAGGACGGAATCTCTTTTCTTTTGCACGACCATCATCGATTGCGGGACGTCAAGCTTCGGGGGCAAAGCTCTTCTATTCCATGGCCTTGTTTGGATCCTCCGAGCTATTAAATAGCCCTCCGGAATCTTGCTATTTAGGAGTATTAAACGTAGATTACCGACAAAACCGATTCCATAACCCCTAAGCTATTTTGCGAGACGAATCTAATGATGTATATTAATCCATAATTAACGGCTGATTACTGTAGCATCACTGTAGCAAATCATGGATTAACATACCTCATTAGATTCGTCTCGCAAAATAGGCTAAGGGTTATGGAATGAGTTTTATCAGTAATCTACGTTTCATACTCCTAAATAACAAGATTCCGCAGGGCTATTTAATAGCCCTCCGGATCCAAACAGGACCCATGTTTACTTTTGTTCCCTTTCACGATGGTACGGTTGCTGGAGGGAGTAGCTACTACTCCAAACATAATTGAATGCTGCATGAGTCACTACGCAGTAGGTTGCCTACTACACGTGTACTGCCACGTAGATAGGTCTATCTGTTGGGATTAATGGATAATTGACTACCACTTCTTATAACGGATTTTAGTTAATGTGACACATCTTAGTGTTGATGAGTCTTATCCAATTAAATTTTTTATATATTTTAAAAAGGAGGGAGTACTAAGGAAGCTCACCTTTGAAAAGAAAACTTTGAAAGTGGTATTTCAATTCTTTTTACCGGTACCACTTTATCTCACGTCTCATATGGTTCAAAATAATCCTTCATTTTTTTTGATTATATGAAAAATGCTTATGTGTGTGCCTCGCATGCTCAAAGAGACGACGATCAACCCAAATAACACTAATTATTACTAAACGAAGTAAACTGAGGAACAACAAAATGGCCCTACAAAATCTTTGAAGGTCGATCATCAAACAGAAAACAGGTGCATGGAGACAGAAATATGATAATGCTAGTAGTAGGATTAACAACCAACAAAATCTCTTTAAACTTTTTAATCAAGTAAAGGTGTGAGCTTTGAAAGAGTGAAGCTGATGTAGCATCACAATTCACAAGACAAGTTATGAGAGAAAGGAACTGGCAACAGAAACAATTAATTAAAAATGTATCATCAGGTGGTTACAACATCTCTGTCATTTGAACGGCTTGCACCAGATTATGTATGGTGAGCACGCCATCATATCATATTAATTTTTTGGCCCCAAAAATCATGAGAACAGCAGTATAGAGACATCTGTTGGAGCATTGGTAAACTATGCACTGACATGGCAATAACTGGCATCTTGATGTTTATTGGCAAATGGCAATGGCCATCCTGCAAGATATATAGGAGTGCTATATAATTCAATGTTTGCATTAAGCAAAGGTCCCAGGAATGAGAGTTTCAGGGACAATATAAATACACAATTGCAGAATCTGGTTGAGCACACTTCCATGTCCACATTCAACATCTCTGGAAGAACAAAAAAGTCACATGCTCTCCAATTTAACAAAGATGGCTACCAACCACTTACACTATTCAATAATTGAGTATTTATGCTTACAACAGGATATATCAGCCTGACAGTGTTGGAAACTTCCAATCCAAGTGATACCTGACTGAAGATGCCAAATCCAAAACCTCAACGAATCAAAACCACAGAAATTGCATAGATCCAGGTCACATTTTAATGCACATATCATATCTTGACAAGGCATCCTGTATGGAAAATAAGGCAACAACGTGCCACTGAAAGCTCACAATAAAATAAAAAGGCTTCATCTAGACTGATGGAACAAAACTATACAATGAACGAATAAGAATTTAGGTTCACAAGCCAGCTCACAAAGAACATTTCCTTCAGCACAGGCAACCCACAGCACAAGAGACAGCAACGTGCACCATCTAATGATCACCAACAGCTCACCTTTCTGCTATTATTTTCCTTTGCTTTTGATAAACAATGTGTAACAATTTACAGGTTTATGGCTACAAATTAATGGAATACAACCCCACCCCACCAGACCTGACCAACCTAGCATTTCCTATATCTACATGACAGTATAAAAATTATCTTGTTTTACCCACCAAAAAATTATAACTCAGTAAACCGACCATCAGGTTAGCCTAAACTCACACCATGTCAGCCCTAAGCGACACCCCTCTGCACCACCCTTATTTACCTGTGTGCTATGCTACACTTCAAGCCTGACTCTTGTCTTGATTGGCTTTAGTTTTACTCCCATGCTTTCGGGTGACAGGAGATCGGGTGATATACAGAATGGGCTGAGGGGGCTGCGCGGGCTACAGTCCAACTGGCTTGGTCTGTACAGGCCATAACCCATGAAGAAGTACTCCATGGGTATAAGCATCGCGTGTGGTTGCTCCTCCGTTATGAGCGACCCACATGCTTGGACCTGGAACAGATGGCAAAAAAAGTCATTATGAAACCAGCATTTTAATTTCAATGAAAATCTTGAGGTAATTAAGCACACTAGTGAATTTACCTCAACTAGAGCACAGTATCTCCTGTCCAGCTTTGATGTCATGTGAACAGCCTCAGTATGGAACTGAGAGTACTCGCCGACAAAAATAAGGGTCCTACACTGAAGCTGCTTCAGGTCTTCTGTCAAGTCATATCTCCTGTAAATCGTTCCCAGGTTTGTTAGAGCTCAGTCTCGTGGAAGTTGACCCTGCAGTTATTGAAAATGATAACAAGTGTAGAATGTGTACATGTTCATTGTCTGTACGAAGCGCCACACATTCATGCTCTGCCGTTGATCTAGCAACTGGAAAATGTGTACAAAGAGAGTTAACATCTAATATATCTAAAGAACAGCTGAGTAAACAATCGAGGAAGGAAAAAAATGTGATACTTACACTTCTACAAGCTTGCACTATGTCAGATTCAGGTAAATCAGAGCACCCCCGCACTTCCTAAGAATAGAATTCGAGGATACCATAAGAAAAGGCTCAAGCATGCAAAGGTAATGTAATATGGTAATTAGAATAAATGAAATTAATTTTAGATACCTTGCTGAAGTACCGCTGCAGTAAGCCCTCCTTCACCAGTCCACACATCCCATAGTAATATAACAAATTGGATGCCACCTAAAAAGAATTAGTCAGTATAACCCCCTATTATTAAATTAACTTGGTAGGTCATTTACCAACAGCTACCTTATTATAAAACCACTCAGTCCACGTGGGAGGTTTACATAGGGGAGAAACAAGAATAAGACCTAGTACACGATCCCTATACTTCGCCTGCCATAAAAAATACATAGTTCAATAATAAGTTTCGATGAATAAGCAATGGACAAAATGCTGGCTTGAAGAAACACCTACTGCGAAGAGAGTAAGAATGTAAGCACCCGCACTGACACCTAAGCACATTACGGAACCTAACCTGGAAAGAGCAAATTTGATCAGAGAATAGAATTGACAAAAACTGGGCATGGCCATTTGAAGATTTTAGGCAATCTAATAGAATATTACCCAAAGAAATCGAGAACATCTGCAACCTGATCAGCCAAATCATCAACAGATGGTATAGGAGCATTTGGCGAAATTGGAGCTGCCCCCAACTGCATGATTGTCAAATTAGGGCATAAAAGGGCGAAAACAAGACAGTAAAATTGCGGGTATATAGTTTGTCATATTTAAGGCAAATGCAGATTTCAGTGCTAACAAAATGCATAATGCCAACCTCATGTCCTGGGGGGCTGATATGGTAAATGCAAAAATTGTGAAGCAACAATGAAGCAGCTTCAGGGCAGAAGAGCAATCCTTGGAAGCAAGACATATCTGTAAATAAATGTATGTCGGATTACTGGAACAATTTGCGGAGAGAACAGCTGCACTTTAAACTATTATGTGGTACTTACGATTTAAAGCAATATCTGGATAAGTAACAAGAGCCGGCTTGTCATGGTCACCATACACCGCAACAGATACGGGTCCATGATTGGTATGTATATGATGTTCCTGAAGAAACAAGAGAGTGGAAGAACTGCTTAAACAACAGAAAAACAATGAGAACAATTTTAATCAAAATAGCATCTAACAGAAAAAAAGATTTTTGCACATTGCAAAGCACATAAAAGAAGCTGCATGAGTTTACATAACAGAAAGGCCCTATTTTTCCAGCCAAAAAAAATGTTCTGTGAATACAAAAAGGTGAAAACTGTGGCAAATCAGCTAAGAACAAAATATTACTGTTAATGTGAAGCATCGTCATGAAAACCCAATCCTAACTAAAATACAAAATAGATATGCCAAATTAGCCTTATCTGTCCAAAATAGATAGGCATGGAATCCAGAGGATAGGCATGGAATCCGCAAGACTAGAGAAACCAACAACATGTCTACATCCTGAGCTAGATGAATATCATAATTAGAATCAAGATAAGCCTTCAAATTGATACAACTTTCAGTTCATCAACACTAGAAGGTAAAAAACACAGTCAGTACAAAAGGTAAAACTTGCTAGGAGGAAAATCAATGGAACAATGTATTTAAATTTGCACTATACCAAAATCAATTATTATTTGAGATAAGCAAACGCACCATATGGAAGCACTCAAGTCCCCAAAGTGTATACAAAGAAGATAATAGAAATGTTCCAATCAAAGTAAATATATATGCATCTACAGAATGCTTAACAACTAAGAAATCATGTGCTTCCTGTGACCGTACTACAACTAAGTTTGTCAGCAACCTCAGAGACACCGATACAAAGAGAAATGGTCCTTTAAACTTGGTCAAGCAAGAACTATCCTCCTGTTTTTCTCCATCAGGTGAGAAAAGGTGGCAGTCCTCCCCTGACGCTTGAAGGAAAGAATTTCTCCAAAATGACGCAAAGGGGATGACTTCATGATTGAAGGATCTTTGTTTTCTGCATATATTATACTAAAGGCTGACAAGATGCTAACAAAAGAAAAGGGGAATAATATAATAGTTTTATTATGATGAGTGGAACTAAAGCGATGATTCCACAACCATCTCTTGTAGGACAAAGGAAAGTACCACAGATCATGATACGAACCACAAGCGATCCCTTCACCATCACAGAAGCAAAAGGCCCAAATGACAGCACCTAATTACTATGTTTTTCTAACACAGGAAGAGTGATTGTTCTGTAAAGAGGAATGATTTTGCAGCCACATCACAAGCATCCTATTTAAAAAAAAAACTGGTGAAATTCACATGAAAGAGACCTGTAAACTACACTCAATATTTTTTACCCACTTACTCAAACACTAGTCCACGGTCAAACACGGACAGAAGATTCTATAGAGCAAATAATCATCAACCATACATAAAAAAAATTATTTATTTAGCTCCAATTTCTCTCGTACATAGAGAGAAAAAGGAATTTGTACAGTGGAATAGTCGACGGAAATTTACGAGCATGAAACCTAGATAATCAAATAAAGAACTGAAACAATTAAAGAAACAGGCGCTGCAACAAAAGCGGTTGTTAGGACAACGAAGCAAGCACGCAACGGCAGTCCAACTCTGACTCTTTTTGAGCTAAAAATCGCGCAATTAAGCGCATATGCAAGGCGACTAACTGACGAACTAAATTAGCTTAATTTTCTCCGCGAGAAAAGGACCATATGGCCAGGCAAGAACAGCAGGTTGTAGCACTATTACAGGTGGAATTTTCGGCATACGTAGGCGACGACGAACACGGCTACGATTCTACTCCAGCAGGTGACGAATGCAGAACCGCAGATTGCGGTGACAAATAGCAGCGAGAAAATACGCCGTAAACACGCGCATAAAAAGCAGCTCCCTTCTTTTTTGGGGAAAAAAATATAGAGCAAAACACATGGTTAATCGGAGATGAATTCTCGTACGGTTTGACTCGCAAGATTCGGGGTATCCTAAAAATTCTCCGTTAGTTTGGACTCCTCCATATATACTAGGAAAAATTCAAGAACAGCGCAATGCAACCGACGAAAATCCAAGAAAATCTCCAAAAAGAAAAAAAATATGGCCGCCAAGCTCATCCCGAATCCCCAATGCGAGCAGCGCCCCCACCCAAGAAACCACGGCGAGAGGAAGCAAGAAGGAAAGAGAGATGGTCCCCGGACCTTGCCGCCGAAGGAGATGCGCTCCACGTCGATCGACACGACGGAGCCGCCGGAGTCCCCCATCCGCCGCCGCCCACCTCGACGCCGGACGGGCCGCCTCCTCTCTCTCTCTCTCTCTCTCTTCTTCTTCTTCTTCTTCTTGTCTCTCTCTCCTACGGAATAGTACTACAAATGTCCTCCCTTTCTACTCTCACTTTCTCTCTCTACCACCCGACTTGTCTTGGCGTCGCTTATAAACGAAGAGCAGCGAGCTTCTCTGAATTTCTCTCTCTTCGTCGTCGTCGTCGGCTTCTTCTTTCCTCCCTTGACGAGGGAGGGTTGCTGCTAAATTCGCGCCGCCATTCTTGAGCTTTCCTATTATTGCAGCTCAGTCCCTGGGTGATTTGTTACTTGCCATTTATGGAAAGGAATAGTAGTACTAATGTACTAGTAGTATGATCAAGGGTAAATCAGTCAGTGTAGAAGTCCAATCTTGGTCAGTCCACAAATCACAACATAGCCCACAGAGGATGAGAATCACTCCGTCAAAATAGCTCGAAAGAATGGGAAAATAAAACCCAGGATTGTAACATTTGCTGTACAAAACACGGAAATAACCGTTCGATTAGCCACAGATAAAACGTATGAATTGGATGATAGAAATAGGTTCAAGGTAAATTTTCAAGAGGCTGCATCTCTTGCTAACTTTTCTTCAAAATATCTACTCCCTTCGTTCTAAAATAAGTGCAGCCACGAGTTTCCTTGTTCAACTTTAGTCGTCCGTCCGGCAAAGGAGGCGGATCAAGTGGCCGGCGGCGAAGGCGGAGTTGGTCCCAAGCGTGATAGAGAGCTTGCGCTCCGGCGAAGCTGGTGGCCTTCCCCGCCACGCCCGTCGCCCACCCTCCCTCGCCACGACCTTCTCTGTCCGGACCGCCGCCGCCGCGTTCTCCGCACAGACCACTACCACGGAAGCGGTCACTCGTGCGTCATGTCCGCGGTCAGCCGGTCACCGCCTGTCCTCCGATCCCCGTCCCACTAGCAAGTAGCAGAGAGAGAAAACAGAGAAAGAGAGGGGTGAGGTAGGAGTACATGACGTGTACAAGTAGGGCCCAAAGTTTTTTTTAATGGGTTTACCACGTGTATGTCACGTAGGATCTAAACCGCTCCTAATTGAGCCAAGGGGGTAATTTATCTGGTTTCAATATTTTGAGGTATCAAATGTCCGGTTTTATGGTTGGAGGGGGTAATTCAGTCGACCATAATAGTTGAGTGGGGTAATTCGTACTTTTTCCTAAAAAAGCGATGATCGTGTACATACTAGATTCTAAATAGAATAATATTTCGTATCAAGAAAATATGGAGTAATAGTGCGACAATGGTGCCGAAACACTCGATCAGAGAGATTGACAGTGGTATTAGACGCTGAAATGCTCAACAATTCATGTAATTTTGGAGACCCTCAAGGGCCAATGTGAAAAAAAATTGCTCCGTTCACCGGCCACCGACGAGAGGAGACTGGCGACACCGACGCTTCGCTCGCCGATGACCGCATCCACCCAACGAATCAATCCCAACCGTTGGCTCCCCCCGATCGGACGGCTCCAGATCCAGCCACGTCAACCCCGCTCCCCGAGCAGACGGCCTCGCGGTCGCGGCGACCTCTGCACAGTGGGGCTCACGTGTCATCCGCATCCGGCTCGTCTCGGGTCTCCACGTGGGGCCCACCAGGTGACCGTTGGCTCTCCGTCCACGTGGCGGAATCCCATTGGCCTCCTACACGTTGTAACGGGGGCCCCTCGCGCCTAGGTGTCGGCAAGGATCGGCCGCTGCGACACGTGGGCCACGCCTGCTCACCCGTGGGGCCCACCTGTCTGTGTCAAGCGAGCGAGGGTACGCGTGGCAGACTGGCCTGCCCGGGCCCACGTTTTCCGTCGTGCTGCATTAAATGCCCGCAAACGTGGATGCGAGGGACAAAGCTGTAATTTCCGCAGAGACCTGAGACCCTGGGAGGCTGGGAATATTCTCCGGAACCGGAATAGTAAAAATTGTGCGGATTTACTGCTAGACTGACGGTAATATTTGGGGTAGCCGGGTAGCAAACGAGATTTTAAGGAAGTGGTATATACTCATTCATCTCCTTTTAATAGATATATTTTTAAATCTGAAAAATAAAATTTTTGATAAGCATATTTCAATCTAACAACATATTCTCTTAATAATTTTCTCTAATTCAATGCGTCACTCTTCATTCTTTCACACAAGATTGACTACATGGGCATCGAGAAATGTAAATATTAATTAATCACTTGTTTACGAGAAATAACTAGTAGCATGCTTAAATGAATGATAAGTAGAATTACTTATTTTTGATCTGTGTGTTAAGATGACATATGGCTATCAAAAGTAGATGGAGAGAGTATCGTTTAGTTTAAATTAAGGTCCGTGAAATTAAAGACTACTATAGAGTCCCTTGTTTGAATAAGAAATAGAAGGATAGTGAGAATAGAACGGTGGAAATTTAAATGGGATGCATTTTGATGGGTCTATTTGGGGAGCTTTGATAGCTGCAGTTTCTACTAAAATCTCCAACGGCTAGAAACTGTCTAGATTTTCATCCCAAAGCAGTTCCGATTTTCATTCAGATTCTAAGAATATATAGTTATAGAATCCAGAAAATAAACTATAAGGCAGAAGTTGAGTTTCCCAGTTTTTCCACCAGCTAGCTTCTCATCAGCTGCTTCTTATAATCTTAAACTCCTCCAAACAGACCTGATGAGAGGGATGGAGGGAGTAAGCTACAGGCCACTAGGTGTGAGATTAGAGTATCATTTATCTTTTTGTCAAAATAGTTATTGAAAATACTATTTTAATGTCATTTGATCAACAAATTTTAGAAAAAAACTTATTTGTGGTTCTATATTGCAGTTGCAAAAACTGTACATTTATTTTTTAAAAAAAAATAGTCTGAGTGTCACATACTGGGTTTAATACTAACGTAAAACCATATATTTCTCTACTGCTACCTAAAAACCTCTCCTTCTATAAAAACCATCCAACTTTGAAATTTTGATTTCTAAAGAAGAATAGCATTGTAAAAAAAATTAACAATTGATCCAAATCATCCCACTAATCGCAACTAGTCTTGGTGGTTAATAGGTTGAGTTATTTTCTCAAAACATCTCTATATTTTTTCCCATTGGTTTGCCATATGCTTTATTCTAAGACGTACGGTTTATTAGAAAAATTAATAATTTGTGAGTATTTTTTTTATTTGTGTACTTAGCAATTTTAAAACTAATGCTAAAAAATAAACCTCGATTACTTTAAAATTAAGTTTGAGAATTTAAATTTTGTTGGCAGCTTATAAGCTGTGATGGAAGCCCTTCTAAAGACTCAAAACAATTTCAGAAATAATATATCATAAACTAAAGCAAGATTGATTTGTATTTTGGATACCGCATTGACATTGAAATAGCAAACGCTTAACTGAGACGAGAACAGCTCTTACACCAAGATAACTCCATCCGTTCGCAAATATTTGATTTTTTTTATCAGCATTATTTGAACTTTGACTATTACCATTTTTTAGGTTAGACTATCACGAACAAAAGCTTGCTTACATTTAAGATGCAACACTTTGATACAGCCATAATTTTTTAAAGTTTAGATTAATGTAAATAGTTTTCAACAACAAAGGTGTTTGGAAATGAGGAGGTAGTTATCATAGCCGTGCAGGGCCGCCCGCAAGACAAAAGTGGATTTGCAAAGCTATGCGCAGCTTCCTTTATTACTCAGCAAAGCATAATTGAGAGGGAAGGATCAAGAGAGAGATATGCACGTGTAATTAACGCTAATTGCATCCTCCCTCCGTGCATAAATAAAAATAGTTTTAGTTTCAACATTATTTTGTTACTCTTTCTATCACATAATATAAGACGCGGTCAAAGTTGTACGGTCTCCAAAACTAATTTTTAGCTTACAATTTCTCATATACTATAAGATTTGTAGAAAAAAAATTATAACCATATGAAAGTAAATTTAAATCTCAATCTAACTATATGATATATTTTTAATAAATAAAATTAATTTCATATTATACTAAGTGTTGGTTAAATATTTTAAAAGTTGAAATCTTAAAATGAGTGTGCACCTTATATTATGGCGGGGTACTAAATATATATAGTCTATTGTCTAATAGACCTCTTTAATACTATTTTATCCTTTTTTTTTCCTTCTAGTTTTTAGCTATTGAGTCTTTGTAATATTTTTATCCCCTTTTCTCTTATTATTTACTATGTATTAATGAATGGCAAAATAACCTTTGAATCTCTTGCTTATTATATGTGTTTGACTAGCTAAAACTATACTTATTATTTAAGAACGAATGGAGTATTATCTTCTACTCCCTTCAATTCTATAATTCTTGATGTATTGGATAAGATTAAGGTTAACATTTTATAACTTTGGCTACCAATATATTAAAAATCATTTTTTAAAGGAACTAGAAGAATATTATAATAAAAAGTAAACATGCATTTATTTATTGTGTATATTATAATAGATAAACAAGATCAAAGATATATATTTTGGAGACTGTGTTATTGTGTAGAACATTTAAGAATTACTCCATCCATCTACTTTTGATAGTTATATTTCATCTTGACTCATAGATCAAGGATAAGTAATTCTACTTATCACCTATTTAAACATGCTACTAGTCATTCCTCGTAAACAAACGATTCATTAATATTTACATTTCTCGATGTCCATGTAGACAATGAAGAGTCATGTATTAAATCTGAGAAAGTCATTAAGATGATAGATTGTTGAATTGAAATATATCTATAAAAATAATTTTTTCAGATTTAAAAATATGACTAGTAGATAGAGGGAGTATGAAATTGGAGGGTGTAGTCTTCTGGAGCGATCCGAAACTTGCAAGCGAGGCCATGTGTCAAGAGCTCCATCAATTCAGTTCATTAATTAATCAATTGCTACTCCAACTGTCCTTACATTACATTTCGGGACATTTGCTTATTTGACCCTGTTTTGAAGGCTAACTACCAATTTGACCTTTTTTTTTTGAGTTTGCTTATTTGACCCTGCTTTTCGAAAACGAACGATCGGTCTGACCCTGTTCCGTTAAGGTGAGTTGACGGTGTTAAGTTAGGGGTAAATAGTCTATTTTGCCCTTGCAACGAAGCTGACGACCGGCGATGGCAACGAAGCTGACGGAGGCGGAGACGGCGACGACGATGCTCTTCCCGGCCACGGCGGGCGCGAGTGCGGGCGTGAGCTCGCTGCACGGGGCCAT